ACTAGATCTCGTTCAAAACAATTTTCGTTGGTAGTTTTTATAGTACATCATAATATGTTTTTTTAGATTTTTCATTTTCTTATTTTAGACGTTAGAGCTAACTTTTCCCACTTTGGAAGCGTATTTCACGCAAACTATTAGGTTTAGAAAAAAATATTTTAGAAACCTCGATATCATTTTTGAAGACCTATCCATAGATACCCCACACGTGTGTTTGATGAAAAAAAAAATTTTGAGTTTAAGTTCTAAGTATGGGGAGCCCCAATATTTATTACTATTTTTTTATTTTTGCATCAAAATCTTAATGCGATTCACAGAATACATCTACCTACCAAGTTTCAACAGTATTTCGGAAAAAAATGGCTGTGACATACGGACGGACAGACGGACAGATGGACAGACGGACAGACTGAGAGACTGACAGACTGACAGACTGACAGACTGACAGACAGACAGACGGACAGACGGACAGACGGACAGACAGACATGACGAATCTACAAGGGTTCCGTTTTTTGCCATTTGGCTACGGAACCCTAAAAACACATAACGTGTATCTCTGAATATCTTTATCTCTATCATATCAATTAGCTTTTCTTCGCCGCCTATAGTCAAAATATTATAGCGTTTTATACGCCTAATGAACAGCTTCCTTCTTTTTAATGTTCTTTGCAGTTTTTACTTCCTCTAAACGGCTGACATGTTTTGTTTTTCCACATTTACCATGCCATTAATGTAAATCCTAAGATTTACCAACGAAATGGTGGTAAGAGTTCGAATCGCAAACCTTTTGGTACATTTACCATTAGGAATTGGTAGATCTTAGGTTTTACTGGAATATCTTAGGATTTACTGCAATTCGAGCTTTTACAGTAACAGATATATTTAAATAATATTTGTCACCCATGTCACACAATACACTTGCAATAAGGTGTTAACTTAAATAATGATTTAGTATTGTTAAACTGTTATGACGTGAAGTCACGTTTTATAAATTACTTGTTTTGTTTCTTGGATTATCTTCCAAATGGGTTCAACGTGCTTAATGAGAAACAGGTAAATATAATTAGGGGACAGTTTATGTATTTATTTTTGGATGTAGATATCGGCTCTGAAATGAAATTGTGATTTTCCCACTGACGCTATTTTGTTTTTCCCTTTGCTTGCTTGTATTATATTAACTGTGGTATTACGAAGACCATTAAGTAAGTACCAGTGGTTTTTTCATGTTCAAATGTTAACCGCACAATCTCACAAAGTAACGGTGACAATAAATAATGTCCATTCAATGTCATTGCCAATTTGTACTGCGACCTCGAAAACTACATAGTACCTACATGGCACTCCCGTATCATCTGTACTTACATGTGCGTTTGACTTGGTCATTTACTGTTTGATCACTCATAAAATTCTATATTTTACCGCAATTTACCTCAAACAATGTCTATAACTTGCGAACTTTATGCATACTTTGTTAGTATCTACGCAAGAAAATATCAATTTACAAAGAGTCACTTGGGGATAGTAACTCGTACAGGCCTGTACGTGGGACTAGTACATCTAGATCTAATCTTGAATACGTTTGTTAGATAATGTATTTATTTATGTTAAAATATTACTTAATAAAATGTAGCATGTAGCTAGTTACTTTTTTTTTACGTAGCGTAGTTAAGTAATACTTATGTGTTTACTTTTAACCTCTAGACTTGCTACAGATTTCCAATAAGTAGGTACCATATGGGGTAAGTAAATATTCGTATTGTGATATTGTGTAATTCTATACGACAAAGTACTGTGGTGAGTACCACCTACCCATATTTTGTCGCGTTAAGGGATCTTTAGGTATGTAAAATTAAACCTACTCACTGCGGAATATTCCGCGCATTTCTCGCTATAAATTTTAATATAACAGCCGTTTTCTCTAGCACCGAGATAAAAATCCAATAAAATCACGTTCAATTGGCTGGTTGGCGTTGGATGAAAATTCTTTATCGTGAGGTTTACAGAGCCCGCCGCACGCGTATTTGATAACACCTCCGCGCCCACCGCGGCTTTGTTGACATAATTTGCATGTCCGTCCCAGACTAAAGAATCGGACGGCTTAACCAAACACTTAATCATTTACACCAATGTTCATAATGTAACGTAATTTTAGAAGATTATAGGTATCAGCGTGCCGAAAGTAGCAGGTTTTTTGCGAAAAGCGCAATGAATTCTTTGCAAGCGCAAGTGTTTAATAATAGTTAGTGATCCCAGTTATCAGCATTAAACACTAATTATAAAAACCTACTAGCTCAAGTTAAGGTACTGACTGATATTTTCAGAACGTTCATAAACCACTTAGTGTTCAAAAAACTTTAAAAACCATTTTCTGATGAAAATGAAGGTCCAGTTTTAAATAGGTACAGTCAAACATGAACATTAGTGTAATTGGCAAAAAAGCCAGCTGAAATAAAAAAAAAGCTACTTATTTTAAGTAGGTGGCTAAGCTACAATAAAAAAATAATTCTTATTGACTAAGGAAAGGATGAATATATTGAGTTTATAATATTCTAAGCGGTCACTATAATTATTACCTGCCTTTTATAGAAACTGCGCTATCACTGCAGCACTTGTTATGGGCACACGGATGATAGCAATCATAGTTACATTAACTTAATGGGAATCTTTTTTATAATCTGCAAATGTGATTTGTTTGTTATGACGAGAAGTGACACAAACAAAATGTTTCAAAAATAAAAACTTCCGTGTTTTTCGGGAAATTCAGCTAAACTTCGAGTTACACTATAAAATGAGAAATTAATCTGCTAATTAAAGTGCTGGCTGAATATCTTTATTAAAGTACGAACAGATACAGCAAGTTCGCGTAAGTTAAAAGTGTAAAAAAGCGATGCGCACCTTTAGATGATACTAAAATTTTACCGATAATAACAGTTCCAAAACTGAGTAAAATTTATCTTCAGTATAGTGAAATTAAACCCACCGGTAATAAAGGTGGTCATGTGAAGATTGAAGGTACTAAATGGAAACGGTGTCAAGTCAACATCGCAGGTTCGCAGGGTATTAAAATACATTTTGTTTCAATTCATTAAAAAAATTCAAGTTTAAAAAATCCTTTATTTTTTTATTTAGGTACTTTTCGGTCTATACTCCCATCAGGGGTTAATAAGTTGGTATTAAGTATTTAGCCAAACATTATTAGGTGTAATTTAATGTATTAATACTGTGAAAAAAATTTAGTTAACGCCTTTAGTTTAATTATGACTTACTTATTTATGGGGCATTTGACTATTTCTTACAATTACCTATCGATTTACGTATATTTTAAAAGTTAAAACACTTTTCATTCCGTAACAAAATTCATTTGTTATGACCGGTAGACGGCAGCGAGAACACAGAACTCATTCAAACTGCAGCTTCAAGAAATGAGGGCATCCTTTTTCGAGGGCGGCGACGCATTGGCGGAGATGCGTTTTGTTTCAATATTTTTGGTCATTTGCGTATAACATTGACTTCAGCTGATTTAACTTATTAAATGCCCTCGCGCGAAAAACTTGGCAACATGGTTTCTGACCTTAGGTAGGATGCGATATTAAAAAAACAACATGATGCTAATAAATCAACCATTGTGACATCTGGCGACCTGAAAGTAATCCCCATTGAAGTAATATTACTACGTATACATTATAACTCAATGGTAATCCCCAATGAGCTCTCAAACATTGAGTTATAATGTACTACGTTACTTCAATGCTCTCAAATACGTAAATAAATTAATGTCATCCCAACAGCCCAGCAAACCCATTTGATCATTAATTCGTTTATGCTAATGCTATAAACCAAGAAGCATTTCACACAAGACAATCTAAAAAGATTTTATTTCTGGCAGGACGAGTAAGTAACTAAGGTAAATTCTTGACTAAAATACATACCTAACAATGCACCTATGTCCGAGGATATTTAGTTACGAGTGTTACCTAACACTGTGACATCTTATGTTGCTGCAATAGATTCGACTTTCCACAAAATATAGATGATTGTATGTATCTGCTTATTTGGTACAGTTAATATGTAGATAGCAAATTATTAACATCATAGCGGAGTTTTCTAGCACCTCCGTTTAAAACCGGTTGATATTGCACGTCTAATAGAAAACAGAAATTACACATAAATGAAACCGAAACTATCCATGTAAATATTCTAATCTTAATAATGACGAATTTAAATTTAAGTAGGTATTTTCCATGCTAATTTACTTATGTGATGTAATAACTATCAGTCTGTTACTACACGGAAAAGATACTGGAGTTTGAGACCCGCGAAAGGATATAACTATGGCCACAGAATAATCTATGGCCTCACAAAACCTACCTTTACCTTTAAGTACAGTTTTTAGCCCTCTATATTGTCTTATTAAGATGAAGAAAAGGAAAGCAAATAACTTTATAAGTAAACTATGTACTTATACTACTAGGACCTAGTCACCTACTAACGTTTTAACTGTTATTTTTTCATATTTTTCTAGCTTATTACGGGACTATTCCTTCCTTTCGTTCCCACCGCTGGAATTCCTGTGTGTCTGTATCTACAATTTGGCTTCCAAGAAAAACACAACCAATGGAGGCCAAGTTGGTCCCAGTAAACTGCAAAGTGGACAGCAGAAAATATACGAAGAAAAGAAAAAGAAAGAAGATATTATTACAAGACCTATAACTTTAACAATAAAATATCATTTAGCACTGCCATATACAATTTGCTGTTTCCTAACTCTTTTCTCATTTGAAACTATTTAAAATGTGTCGTATTAATTATAACTAGGTACTTACTACATTGCATTGTGCTGGTATTGTTTTGGAACTTGACCGTGGCAAAATATCAATATTTTATGCACTACTTAATCTACATATTACTTGAAATTTCAATTCTTGTACATAGCCGGTTAATTTACTCACTTATCTTAAAACTACCCAACATTTTGTAATATTTAGAAATTGTGACTTACCCAAAAATTTTATTGTTATGATCGCCATTGTTACAGAATGTAATCAGTATTTATTTCTTCGAAAACAACACAATTTCTATTGTCACTGGTGAGTTACGAACATTTTGCAAGTCCGGACACGGCGTGAGTGTGGCTACGTGCGGATAGATCGCGACCGATTGCGGAATGCGTGCGCGCAGACTCGCGGTGCAGCCTCAGGCCTCAGGCACCTCAGGCCTCCGCAGCGGACGTCGAATCGTCAACATACGCCGCGAAAACTCGGAGTCACATTATCGCCACACTTCCGCCTTTAAAAATGGAAAACAATCGCAACCATCAACAATTCTCACTGATTGCACCATTCTAAAGAACGCTATGACTACCTACTTACTTAATATTATAGCTAGTAGGTTCAATAAACATCCAAACTCAAAAGAAATTCAAGGAAAATATGTTTATGTAGGTAATGTTTACTTCAGTAGGTTACTCATCATAGTCTACCTACCTACAGTTACCTATTACCTATTACGTATAAAGGAAAGAAGTAAAAATTAAATCTCAAAAAGGTACCAGCTGTATACTTACCTGCATGCATTGGTATGAGTACCTATCAAGATTGTAAAGGAAAACATATTCAAAGACGTAAGATTTTGTCCCATTGCCATCTTATGTATCCTAAAATATGTTACTTATCAAGCTACCCTTCCTCGCCTCGTTTTGGTTTTGTTGACTAAACGCTCTCAAATTGAGTAGAAGTTTTAAAAATATTATTACTTAGGTATTTAATCGACAAATAAACCTTCCAGATGACCTAGAAAGTAATTTGAAAGCCAGCTGGATAATTAATTGTACATATTATGATATGATATGATACAAATAAAAGAAAAATATCTGAATAGCCAGCCAGATAGCCACAGTGTTTTATTTTTCGAGCATAGCGACTACACCACTGGCGCCTTCTGAATTTATCATAGCAAACACTTTCCACCTCGGCGCGCGCGCACGGGTCGACTTTTGTAACCAAGTCAATATCTCACTTAGGTATAAAAGAAACAGACTAAATCACGTGCACGGATAATACTATCTAGTCACCCGTACGCGCGCCAACTGTAAAAGTTACACACGCGTTGTTATTTTACGCGTAGTTTCGTTATTTTTAACTTTGGTAGTCCTGATAAGGACCCTAAAAAAGGCCATACTAAACGTAACTTTAAACAAGTGTTCAACGCGCGTGTAATTCTTATTAGTAAAGGGGGTGTTTATTTTACAGAAAAGAACTGCGCCTGCATTGTGCATGTGCAGGTGATAATTCCACACTATCATAACATAATAACTTCGTCGTTAGATGTATCATGTATCATGTAATTATTATTTATATGTATAAGTATCTCTGGGGTATTTAAACGTTTATGTAATACATTATTACAATGATAACTATTTACATTATTTTACTATCAATCAACCAATTTCACTAAGACGATTAGGTATCGTCTAATGATAATAAGCCAAGATAAGTACCAAGTAAAAATGTAATTAAATGGTCTTGAATTACACAAACAGGCATGTAGATTAGCGTATTACTACTTTATATTGCTTGCCTTTGTAACAAATATTTTTGAACTTTATGAATTAATTACCTTAACTTTAAATAATTTATTCAGAAATAAAACTCCTCCATATTCATTGTAAGATAACAATTGAAGTTTTACTTATCTTGGTATTCAGTGATTATCGTGAGTGCGAAACGGTAAGTCCATAAATGTTATAAGTGCTGATATTGTGAAATAAAATATCTTGGTACTTTTAATCAGTTTTAACTCGTAGCTACTTATTTACTGGTATCAGTACGTAACAAAACATCAGCCAGCTGGCAATTTAAACTGTGTGTTCTACCTACTTATCTAGATAATAAGCAAAGTACGACTAACCAACAATATACTGTCGGCTACGCGTCTAGTGTATCTGTTTTGTAAAATTAAATTAAATACCGAAACATTAAATCAGACCTACGATATACTTTCCTACTATATTATTTAAATCACTACCATTATCTCGGATTTTAATAAAAGAAATACATACAGTCGAACATAGAACCTCCTCCTTTTTTTAAGTCGGTTATAAAAGTGGTACAAACAAAATACACAGTTGCGAGTCAGAGCCCCGATTACGGTAATTTTTAACGTCTCCAATCCAGACGCGCTTCATCGATTCTGCGATACGATTGGTTAAAACACAAAAAAAGACAGCGTACGTCAGCTGTTTTGACCAATCGTATCGCAGAATCGATGAAGCGCGTCTGGATTAGAGACGTTAAAAATTACCGTAATCGGGGCTCAGTTCAGTTGCGTAACTTGCGTAGTCAGCGCCCTATCCAACTCACAGTCACTGGTCACTGTGACTGAGTCACTATTAAATACTAGTGTACTACAACCACAGTCACTAAGTCACAGATTCAAAATTATAGATCTGAGCCCCGATTACGGTAACTTTACCGTCTACAATCCAGACACGCTTCTCGATTCTGCGATACGATTGGTCGTTCAACAGCGTGCGTCAGCTGTTTTGACCAATCGTATCGCAGAATCAGAAACGCGTCTGGATTGTAGACGTTAATAAAAGTTACCGTAATCGGGGCTCTGTGCAAATCAAACTGTCAAAACCACAGAGCACTTATTTGTCAAAACTTTATTTACTTTACTTGCTTATCTTAACAAACCTACTTTACTTGCTTAGTGAACTTTATTGTGGTTGTTATCATTGATAACAACAATCAAACAAAGTGCAAAGTTCGATTTATTGTACTCAACTCACAAATTAACTTTTAATTCAGTGTTCACTGCTGTGTTTTGTCTAGTTTTATCTGAACTTTTCACACGTTATTAGTTTTAATTGCCAATGACTGTAGGTACAAAGTTTAACAATTGCAACATAATCTCGAAAATAATTTTATTTTAAATGATGTCTATCGCAGGACGTCTCTCCCAGCTTCTAAGAATAACTAGACCTATTCAGACTACATCGAGGTTAGTGAGCAGCAGTATGACCATTGACGGTAACACTATTTTGGCGGAAAGCTTGAAAAAGCAGGTAAGGTTTATTTCTATTTAATTTTTTCTGCAAAACTTCCCATGTATCAATCGTTTTAAAAAATGAATCATTAATGAAAGTGCAAACAGAAAGTAAGTAAAAAAATATGTAGCTAATGATTCCCTACTGTGCTATGTTGAATAGAATCCAAAAAAATATTGTTTTACTCATATTATGTCAATTACTTACTCATTTGTCCTTTTTATGTTTAATTCATTGTCATCGTCCATTCGTTAAACTCAAAACAAAAGAACAATAAAATTGGTTCATGAATGAAATTGATAGGTAACTGTCAAAAACCTACCTTTCACTCTACATCAATAATTAATTAAATCTGTAAAATATTAATTTATTCTCTTTTAATAGTTTCAATGTTTTTCAGGGGGTGGAATATGTTTTTGGGATAGTTGGAATCCCAGTAATTGAGCTGTCAATGGCATTCCAGTCGGCTGGTTTGAAATATATTGGCATGAGAAATGAACAAGCCGCAGCCTATGCCGCTCAAGCAATTGGTTATTTAACAGGTGCATTTATTAAACCTTCCTATTATATGCACAGAAATCGTTTTTATTTATTAGGATAACGAGAACAGTTCCTTAATACTTACTTTGAATATCTATTGCCAGGAACTCCTGGAGTTTGCCTTGCTGTCTCCGGTCCTGGCCTTCTTCACTGCATTGGGGGTATGGCCAATGCCCAAGTCAACTGCTGGCCTCTGCTTGTCATCGCAGGGTCCTGTCCTGAAGATCATGAGGGTATCGGCGGATTTCAAGAATGGCCACAGGTACACAGAGATTTTTACACTAAACTACATTATTTGTTAATTTTGTGGTAAACACAGTGTGGAAAAACTGTTTTCAAAGTGAATACGCTTTAATTAATTATTAACTTCTAATGTCAATCAAAAGTGATACAAGTAACAGACAAGGGCCCATCTCACAATATTATTGCTGTTTACTATAAGTACTACAGTATAATAAATAAATAATAAAAAGCTTTTATATCCACAAGTTTACAATTTTATAAATTAAGTTAGAAGCATTTGTCTTCACTCTTGTGGCACCCCTGTATGGGCAAAAGTCTCCTCCATTCCGCTCCATTTCTTCCTGTCCTGGGCTAGGTCGAGCCAATTTTCTCCCGCTACTCTCATTATATCATCAGCCCACCTTTCCTTGGGTCTCCCAACATTCCTCTTCCCCTTGGGTCCCTTCCATTCTGTTGATGTTATAATCCATCTTCTATCTTTGTACCTTGCTAGGCAATGCTAGGTGTCCAGCCCACTGCCATTTTAGTTTTAAAGCTTTTTGTAGGGCATCTGTTAGTATTACAGTATATTTATTTATTATTCTGTAGTATAATTCTCTCTCACTCTCTTAATTTTCTATTGTTTTTGTAATAAATTTAAGAAATTTTATTCTGTAGTTAAATAAATATTGCATAGTTTTTGAGTACAGACGTCTTTAAAACAGGATATTAGGTAAACATTACATAGATACATACATAGATCTACAGGTGATGGAACTGTAATGTTATATTTTGAAAATTTTGACCTATTATTAAAATAGCGTTAAAAATGTTATATCCCCAGGTGGAGGCCAGCCGTCCCTACTGCAAGTACGCGGGCCGGCCGCCGTCGGCGCGCCTGATCCCGCTGCACGTGGAGCGAGCGGTGCGCCTCGCCTCCGCCGGCCGACCCGGCGTGTCCTACCTCGACATGCCCGGCACCTTGCTCACGGTGAGTTGAGTATACAGGCGGAGGCCAGCTATGTATCTCCAGGCGAAGGCCAGCTCTGTATCTCCAGGCGGAGGCCAGCTCTGTATCTCCAGGCGGAGGCCAGCTATGTGTCTCCAGGCGGAGGCCAGCTATGTGTCTCCAGGCGGAGGCCAGCTCTGTATCTCCAGGCGGAGGCCAGCTCTGTATCTCCAGGCGGAGGCCAGCTCTGTATCTCCAGGCGGAGGCCAGCTATGTATCTCCAGGCGGAGGCCAGCTATGTATCTCCAGACGGAAGCCAGCTATTTGTACACTAACGAGATATAATATAACTTTATACAATTTACAGCTTACAATATTAGAGAGGTATACCTTAATAACAGAAGTACGTTCTCTTTCAGGCCGAAGTAGACGAAGACAAAGTGCCTATGGACTTCTACCACGCCGACCCGGTGCAACTGGCGCACCCAAGCCCAGTACAAGTGGATAAAGCGGCTGAGCTGCTGGCGAGCGCTCGCCGCCCGCTCATCGTCGTGGGGAAAGGCGCCGCCTACGCCCGCGCTGAGGCCGCCGTCAACCAGCTGGTAGGAGACACGAAGATACCAGTCCTGCCGACGCCTATGGGTAAATATTACCAATAATACGAGCCCGGTACAAGTGGAGAAAGCGGCTGAGCTGCTGGCGAGCGCTCGCCGCCCTTTTTTTTTTCAAATATCATCTTATGTCATAATTTTTTAAACACCAGACACACACTATGTCCGTCGATCTCTTGTTTTTTTTTTTCTAAATAATTGATGTTGCTGACTCAGCTCACAGCTGCACTCCGCTCCGCTTCTTCTGGGTGCGACTTTTTTTACGTATTTTTTTTCGAATAAGTATCAGGCAAAGGCATGTACTGATCAGTCTTACGTGTTTTTTATAATCAGGCAAAGGCGTAGTCCCCGACTCGTCCCCATACGTGGTGTCGTCAGCTCGCACCACGGCTCTGCTGCACACTGATTTCTATGGCTGATGTGGTTCTTCAGCTAAGCGTATTTTAATAACAGGCAAAGGCGTAGTGCTCATGAGTCTTACGTGTTTTTTTTATAATTAGGCAACGGCGTAGTCCCCGACTTCTTCTTCTTCTTTTTTGATGATGTTGGCAATACACGTCGAGGTCGACTTGATTTGTGCCATTTTCAAGTATATAAGTGATACGAGTTACAAAATGAGATCAAGTAATGATATAATGAAGGATGATAGATGATACCCCTTCCCACCCTTTGAGTCTCAGTAAAGTTGTGGTGCTTTACTGAGACCTCATATGGACAACTTGAGAGAACCAGAAGAATCACGATGCACTGTTTTGCTTCACTCGCCCACACTCATGCACGCTCACGAACACTCAATGGTTAATAACCCACCATTATTACACATTAATAGTCGCCTAAACACGAATTTGAGGAAATAAAACAAAACCGCTAACATGACGCTTCAGATTCCCGCCAAGAAGTCCTAGTCCTCGACTCGTTTCCGTACGTGGTGTCTTCAGCTCGCACCACGGCTCTTTGACCTGTGGTGCTTCTACTGAGCGCATCATTTTTTTACCTACTTAGCTAAGCTCATTTTTTTTAAATAGATATCAGGCAAAGGCATAGTACTGATGAGTCTTACGTTTTTTTTTTATAATTAGGCAAAGGCGTAGTCCCCGACTCGTCCCCTTACGTGGTGTCGTCAGCTCGCACCACGGCTCTGCTGCACGCTGATGTAGTTCTTCTACTGGGCGCGCGGCTTAACTGGATGCTGCACTTCGGCCAGTCGCCGCGGTATGCGCCTGACGTCAAGATTATACAGGTTGGTACTATTAGGCGGTTATCACACTGCGCCGCGCTCCGCCGCGGAGCGCGTTATTTCATATAAAAAATCCCGCGCGCAGACGCGTTGTCAGTGTGAAGTGCCGCGCGTGTTTTCTATACAAACTGAGGTACTTGCATACAATGAAAAAATCTGTCGTCCCGCGCTCCGCGGCTGAGCGCGGCGCAGTGTAATAACCGCCTTAGGGTTCTTTTCTTCTGCCACATTTTTAGGTTAATACACAACTGATGTCAGAAGTCTCACAGGCTTCAGGTTTCGGAGAGAAGTACAAAAGAAGCCTGCAATGTCCTAATGAAACTGGAGACAACACTCAGATGCAAAACCTGAAAGTTTTTTTATTTTTTTTTTATTTATCTACTAAGACTAGCTGGCCCGGCGAATTTTGTACCGCCTAAAACCAACCCGCAGTTTTAGATACCTACACTAAAAACATTATCCTCTTTTTTGGGTAGTTGGGTAAAAGGTATATGTTAATCCAGGGTGTCAGCTCCATATCAAATTTCGCAAAAATATTTTAAAAAATGTTTGCTAATGATCTCTAGTATAATCCCTTTCAAGGAATAGGTCGAGTTTCCCTGTCACCCTGTATAGAAAATAAGATTCACACCCGTAGTAACCTTACCTAATATCCGTTCTAGGTGGACATAAGCCCTGAAGAATTCCACAACAGCGTCAAATCCGAGGTGGCTGTGCACTCTGACATCAAGCCGTTCGTCGAGGCTTTGAGCCAGAAGTTAGCACAAAAGAAAGTGACACTCCAGCCATCTAGCAACGACTGGTGGCAACAGCTCAAGAAGAAACAAGACACCAACGTTGCCTTTGTTGAGGTGAGACTTCTTTTTTTTCCCCATAAAGCTTCGTGCGGCTTATTACATTTAGCCAGTGTCTAGTAAAAGATATTTGCATTTACCTGCACATGAAATAGGAATAATTTAATGATGAACGATGATGATACCGCATTAAGGTTTAATAGCAGCAATTTAAAGGCGTGTCAAGCCATCTTCCAGCGATAGTCGTACTCGTACTGACCAATGAATGTGTCATCTCGCCTGTAGTCGAGTTAGCAGCGTGTTTATTATAAAGTATAATATAATTATAACTTACCTGTCTTATTTAAGAGTAAGGCCTAAGATAAAAGACATGTAAGGAACCACTTACTTAAATGCTGCTTTTTACATTCATAGGCAAAATCTTTATCAAACATTTAAATTCACTTCCCCAGGCCCAAGCGAACCAAAAGACAGTGCCGTTAAACTACTACGCAGTATTCAAGACCGTGCAGGCGAATATTCCCGCCAATTCCATAGTAGTGAGCGAGGGAGCCAATACCATGGACATCGGCCGCGGGATATTACTCAACGACCTGCCGCGACACCGACTCGATGCCGGCACCTTTGGGACTATGGGGGTACGTTGCCTCTACTACGGTCTATGGTCCACATTGTCCCTTAGCACATGTCACCATGGGGGTACGCCGCTGCTGCTATGGTATTTGCACCTTTGGTCGGGACTATGGGGGTTCGTTACCTCTACTAATGGTCTATGGTCCCTTAGCACACGGCACCATGTAGTGTAACATCCCCGCTGACTCCACAGTAATGAAAAGGGTCAACACTATGGACATCGGCCGCGGGATACTACTCAAAAGACCTGCCGCGACACCGACTGGATGCCGGCACCTTCGGGACTATGGGGGTACGTTGCCTCTACTACGGTCTATGGTCCACATTGTCCCTTAGCACATGTCACCATGGGGGTACGCGGCCGCTGCTATGGCCTTTGCACCTTTGGTCGGGTCTATGGGGGTTCGCTACCTCTACTAATGGTCTATGGTCCCTTAGCACACGGCACCATGTGGTGTAACATCCCCGTTGACTCCACAGTAATGAGAGGGGTCAACACTATGGACATCGGCCGCGGGATATTACTCAACGACCTACCGCGACACCGTCTGGATGCCGGCACTTTTGGAACTATGGGGGTACGTTGCCTCTACTATGGTCTATGGTCCACATTGTCCCTTAGCACAGCGCACCATGGGAGAACGGTATTTTTTTTTTACAGGAAAAGCAATAATAGAAGATAGGTGGTAAAGTGGTAACTAGTGGATTATGAGGATTTCTATGCCAAAAGGGCGGAGCCTTGGCCCTTCTTAGGTAGAGTAATCGGTCAGCTAGCCTTTGATAATAAGTCCCAAATTATAACAGTACGTGCAGACGTGCCTATATTCTTTAAGAAACCAACTGCTTTTTCAAGCAAGAGCTGAAAATCAGTGTTCTGTCACTTATTAGAGCAGTGTCTATACTGAACTCTCCGCTTTTTTGCATCGCTGCGGCACAAACTAAGGTGTAAACCATAGTGCATGATTTTCTTTTTTTTTATCGCTTGTAATGTAACTTTTTCTGCTACTCCTACTTTTTGCTTATTGTGTATCAATGTGTTTTGCAAAAAAACCTTTTATCTATCACCTGGGAAACTAAATTAATTTATACGCACCTACAATATAAAATCTCTTTCACACAGGTGGGCCCCGGTTTCGCTATCGCAGCGGCGATGTGGTGTCGCGACTACGCGCCCGGGAAACGAGTGGTTTGCGTCGAAGGAGACTCCGCTTTTGGATTCTCTGGTAATTATCTAATTAACGTTTCTTCTTCAATAAAAACGGCTTGCTATTGAGAACAAAAATATTGTGACTTAAAGTTATGGTTACTAATACTTACTATCACAACCGTATTGAAACCAAACGAAAGGAAACAAATGTACGATAAACGTTGTAATTAAATGTTCATTTTGTTTGCGATTTTAAGTTATTAACATTATTATGTTTTTGTTTAAGGTATGGAAATCGAAACCATGTTCCGTTACAAACTGCCTGTAATAATAGTGATAGTCAACAACAATGGAATTTACAGTGGATTTGACAAAGAAACCATGGAAAGTATCCAGTCTTCTGGTGATGTAACACAGTGGTAAGTATCACATACACTAGGATCAAGATAGCTGTAAAAATATTTTACACTAGCTTTCCGCCCGCGGCTTCGCCCGCGTGGAATTTTGTTTGTCACAGAAAAACTATATCGCGCGCGTCCCTGTTTCAAAAACCGGGATAAAAACTATCCTATATCCTTTCCCGGGACTCAAACTAAGGTAATCCGACAGTCATTGGACAAAACAACCCTTGAATTTTCTTAAAATGAATATTCCTTCAAATACAATGAATATTCCTTAAAAAAACGCCCTTTTATCTCCATCAGTCGGAATCTCTCAGTTGTTGAAATAGAAATGCTATTTTTAATTCAGTAAATACTGTCCAATAACTTTCTTAAGTGTGCAATGACTGGCAGTTTACCCTATCTCTATGCCAAATATAATCAAAATCGGTTCAGTGGTTTAGGCGTGAAAGCAAGACAGACAATCATTATTTAATTTTGTTTAAATGGTTTCTTTAAGTTAACGTTCACTCTCCCTACAAGTGATATCCATTGATTACAGCACTCCACCAACCTCCCTAAGCACGGAGGTGCGTTACGAGAAAATGATGGAAATGTTTGGAGAGACCGGCCACTTCTGCCGGACGGTCGAGGAGATCCAGGCCGCGCTCAAGCACGCTGCGACGGTCACCGACCGGCCGACCATCATCAACATCGCCATCAACCCGCAGTCCAGCAGGAAGCCGCAAGACTTCAACTGGCTGACTGAATCTAAGCTTTAAACAAATGACTGTTTATCTTAGAGTAGGCGCACACCGTTGATTTTTCGTCGGCCGATAGTTTAGTCGGGCTGTTGATCAGTATTGGCATGTATGGGAGTGCGCACACTACGCCGATTCGATTTGGCCGATTCTTCATACAATTTGAAATCGGGCACAACTATCGGCCAACTAAAAATCAACGGTGTGCGCCTACTACTCCTGGCTGAGTTGCACCACCTAACTTTGACCGTAACTTTAACGATCGGTGTTGTTTGTATGGAGTTTGACAGATTTTTGTCTAAGTTAAAGTAAGATAGTGCAACCCAGCTATAAAGTACAAATATTCACGGTTTATTTTAATTTTTTTTTATTACAGCAACTTATTGGTTGTGGAGATATTTAAAGGCAAAAGTCAGATGTTATTTTTTTTTCCAAAAAAAAATATTTTTTTCTTTTATATTCTCTCAGTTCATATTTTTCAAGAGGTGGGATTTGTCTCGTCGCGTTCGGTATCTCGAACGGAAAATATTTATTTATTTTATTTATTTATTATTCATTATTGAGCAATTACATATTTGATCCAAATAGCGTCCTAAATCCTATATAATATATAATAACCTGCATGGTTGCGGCCAGCCATCGTCAACAGTAAAGTGCATAAATCGACTTGAGCAATTGTTCAATTGAGGGCCAATTGGTGAGCTATTTTCACACTTGTAGGCCAGATTGGCCACCCTAACTCCTGTTCTAGCAATATGAGCTGAGATTTCAACGTTATGTACCTTGCACAAGTATTGTAACTACTACTACTACTACTATTTGAAGTTGGTTAAAATTTTTATAGTGCTCGACATTAATGAAATTATGTTAAAATTATTTTTATATATTTTTTATACCTGAACTGATATAATCTACTTATGGCATTTCTACTAATGATAAGCATTTATTTCTGTTGATATATTTTAAGTTTACCAAAATAATTGTTGACAATTGACATAAAAAATATTTATATCAGATTGAATGGTGTAGGGTTTGTAATAATAAGAAAATATCACTTGATATTGTCTGTATTTGAGTCATATTTATGTCATCACAATGTTTGTATAGTGAACTTAAAAATATTATATTTAATATATTATAAACTAAATCCCTGTATTTTCTTTAAATCTGCTGAACGCAATTAATCTGCTGGTTTCAGTAATGGTTGTCCAAAGCAACATAATATGAGCAGTAAGATTTTCTTCACATTTTGCTTAAGCAGCCGATCAAGAAATTCTCTATCACAGTTTGGGCTGGAACAATAAAAATATTAACATTTTAAATACCTATACAATTTACCAAGAAACCCCAAACATGAACAATATTATTTCCTTAAGTTTGTGATAGCATAACTTACCCAATTTACAATTATTAGTGGTAGTCAAAGTGTAAGCATCCTGGTCATAGTCATTTGTGAGGGTGAGATCAGCTCCTCTGACGAGAAGCTCATTGCAAGTGTAGGGAAAATCTGCAGCGGCAGCATACATCAGTGCAGTGCTACCAGACTGAAAGAAAGAAATATCAGGTCTGTGAGTAAAGGCTGAATAAATTACATTTTATGATTTGTAAATTTTGAATGATCCTCAATCTCATTAGATCACCAAATACAAAATGTCAGAAATTTTCAAAAAAAATTCAAGATAAAATTGCCTTGACAGATTACACAGTAAACTGATCATTAGCAGGGATCCATTATTTATTTATTATTATAAACTTATACAGAAACCTACCCTAATCATGGAAACAAAATTCATGAACATGATAAATTGATTCAAGGTAGGTACAAGTTAATGACTAATCTGTAACTTACATCATCTTGTATGTCAGCATCTGCCCCTTCATTCAAAAGAAACTTGACAATTTCATGGTGCCCGCCTGCGGCAGCCAAGTGGAGTGCAGTCTCCCCTTCAGGCCCCCGCACGTTAACGTTGGCACCACTCCTGAACAATACCAATACATATTGACTACAATATTATTAGTGACTACAAACCTACTACCAAATGTTATGAAACAAATATAAACTGATGCTTAACAAATTTTATCAATCAGCCCACACATAGGTACATACATCTTAAGCTAAAAATAAGAGTTTGATAATAACTAAACATGTAAAATGTTTTCTTACTGAGATAAACAGCCAGACATGAGTAATTGTCCAGAGGTTAAACAACAAGACCTAGGGCAGTGATAAAGTTTGTCAATAAGGATGGAAATACCTAGATCCACCCTTAAGTTGACACAAAGGAACAAAGGAAGTGAAGAGTTCTTACCACACAAGATCCTGGCAACTGTTTAACTGTCCATAGCTCGCTGCCCAGTGTAAAGCAGTGAGCCCATGTTCGTCGGTGATATCGACATACTGCTCCAGTTTCAAGTCGTCACGAGTTATTTCTCCTCGGCCAGCCTTCGCGTGTAAGCTACAATCTGGCTGGGGCAGCTCGGGGACGCGCGCCTGCGTGTTACCTACGAGTGCGACCTTGATAATTACTCAATGGAAATCCACCGAAGGCAGCCAGTAGTAATCAATAACACATCGCAATAGCTATCATTCAATCTACAATTACTTACCTCTCTGTAAATTAGTCAAAGCGGTGCACTGAACAGATTTGTAGTAAGGCGTAAATGCACTTTTACGCACACCGTTTAAATTCGGAGCCCATCTCTGATAGCCCCCACTGCCACTTTTACTACTATCTTGACTTCCCGAATCAAATTCATATTTGTAACTATCCCAATTCTCCTGCTTTATATCAATATTTTTCTCTTCGTGTTTGACAGAAACGGACTCCTCCATTTTCTTTCCCGTTTTGAGTTTTCCTCAGTTTTCCTTTTCTTGTTGTTTTTCTTTCGTTCAATCAACGAGACAGACCATAGAGAAAAGTAATACATAGGAAATAGAGAACCCTCTCTGTCAAATTTTTGAGCCTACTAATTGATAGCCTGGTGTTAAATTCTCTGTACTTAACCTACGTACGTAACGCTCACATACATACATAGTACACGCACACATACATACATAAAGTCCACGCACACATACACACAGTTCACGCACACATAGGCCCTCAAAACCTTCAAAGAATTATTGTTTTTATGATGTACAATGTAGAATTTTTTCAAATCCATTATTTTGAAAATATTTATCTTTATGGTGTACGTATTTTCAAAACAATGTATTTGGAAAAATTCTACATTGCACATGGAAATGCAAATAAGTAAACAAAAACTTTTGAATTTAATAATTTTACTTTATTTATGAACACATAATATTATACACCAAAAGCGTCTTTTCGCAAAGTTTTCAACACTAAACACAGAACACAGCACATTGAGAAAACTCAGATCACTTGTGAACATAACAGAAAGTTTCTTCGCGATTCACGAAGGAACGAACAAAACTCCGATGAACCAGAACAGCAGCAGGTACGAAGGAATGAACTTGAATTTGACTCGACTCTTCAATACTTTAATAGGGCCACAGAACTCATAAACGATGGCTAAGAAAACCAGTGTTGCCAGTCGGGTCTAGTCAGAAATTACCAGAAATATAAAAAAAAGTAACCTTTTTGAATAAAAAGTAACTTTCATACGGGGGGGGGGTGCGGAGTGATGATTGTGTAAGAGGTTGTTCATGGATGGAAAATGAATACAATTGATCATCTAAATTCGAAAAGTGACCAGTCGTATTTTTAACTAATAATAAATCAAATTCAAGTTTAAATGCACTTTATGACATAATTTTTAAATTGTCACTATTAATATTTTTTACTGAATAACCTGTAAAGTTAATTCTACAATTTCTGAAAAATCACCTAAAAGTAACCTTTTCATTGATTCACAGAAAAGTGACGTCCACTCATTTAACACGAGACATAAGAATAAACTTGCTGTTCCATCATTTAGGTTGCATAAAGACTTTATTACTTTATTACTTTATTACTTTATTACTTTATTACTTTAAGATAGGTAATTCATTCTTGGGGAAATGTATTACCATATTTAACAAAATACCACACAACCTTGTCGAATTGCCAATAAACAAATTTAAGATACATATAAAAAATACCCTTATGTCCAAAGGGTACTACAAGGTTCGAGACTATATTGATGACAAGGATGCGTGGTCAGTTCAGTCTGCACATATTTGATGTACTTAAATTTGACTATTCTTACCGTTAGATAATTCCTGGCAATAAGTGGTGACTGAGTTTGTTCCGGCGTTTCTTCTCAGCACTTGCCATATGTTTGTCTCGAAGCGCTGGTAGGGCCCAAAAGATAAGGAGACATGTAAAGTGCCCCATAAGGGCTACCTTTTTCTTTTTTTATTATTTTCTATTGACGTTCATAAGTGCCACTTGTGGTCTAAAGTGACGTCCACTCATTTAACACGAGACATAAGAATAAACTTGCTGTTCCATCATTTAGGTTGCATAAGATAGGTAATTCATTCTTGGGGAAATGTATTACCATATTTAACAAAATACCACACAACCTTGTCGAATTGCCAATAAACAAATTTAAGATACATATAAAAAATACCCTTATGTCCAAAGGGTACTACAAGGTTCGAGACTATATTGATGACAAGGATGCGTGGTCAGTTCAGTCTGCACATATTTGATGTACTTAAATTTGACTATTCTTACCGTTAGATAATTCCTGGCAATAAGTGGTGACTGAGTTTGTTCCGGCGTTTCTTCTCAGCACTTGCCATATGTTTGTCTCGAAGCGCTGGTAGGGCCCAAAAGATAAGGAGACATGTAAAGTGCCCCATAAGGGCTACCTTTTTCTTTTTTTATTATTTTCTATTGACGTTCATAAGTGCCACTTGTGGTCTAAACTGAATAAATATTTTTGATTTTGATTTTGATTTTGATTAGTGTAACCTAAAAGTAACCACTGCAGTTCAAAAGTAACCTAAAAGGTTACAAAAGTAACCTTCTGGCAACACTGAAGAAAACAATAATGCATTCAATTCAACCTAACAAAAACAACACCGGCCATTTTGGAGGAAAAACAAAGTTGCCATATGTTAAATAGTAATTTCTACTACTCTATTATGTAAATTATAACAAAAATGTCAATGTTCAGTTTTAAATTAAAACAAATTAATTTCATTTAAAAAAAGTTTTCACATTGTAATTAACAATATTCTCAAATATATTTTAATTAAGAAAAAAATGAAAATATGAAGGAAACAGGAGCAGCGACATCTAGAGCGTTTTAGGGTAGTTAAAAAGTATTTGAATTTATTCACCGATGTCGCTGTTTGGAAGCAAGTTTCACTTTGATGACCGTTGTATGGAAGTTTCTTCACCCTGAGACAGACTGACAGCTAGGAAGAAAGAAGGGACAGACAACAAAGCTAAAATGACCATTGACGTATGTGTATAGTATGGACCGGGCATACCTATAAAATAAACGTGCTTGGTAAGAACACGATTTGGGAAAGAAACATGAGCGCAATATTATTAGGCAATCATAGAGGAATTTTGGTTAGATTTTCTAAGAAGGCAATCAGATAATAAACATTTTGGTTTACTCGAAATATTTGTCAGCTGACTGACTACCTATTTTACGGCCATGTTCCTTTCCTACTTTCCTAAAACGTATAACAACCCGGTCGATTTAAGTTGTTGCAGTGAAACGTGTTACGTACGAAGCAGTGGATAAAAACGCAACAGCAGTGCCCGGATGACGAACGAGCATCAGCTGTTTTGATTTGACAAATCCATAGGTTATAATGATTGTTTAATTATTTTTTATTTGCACCTCAGTTGGAATGAAAAACGGAGCGCAACTGGAGAAGAAGCGCGTATGTATTGGAGACGTTAAAAATTAGCGTAATCGGGGCCGGGGCCCTGTCCATAGCTTAAACGTCAATGATTTTTCATTTCATTATCGCCAACACTATAAAAATAATTGTCAATGTCAAAAGTTTTCAAATGGCCAACACAGATTAAAGAGTCAACTGCCAAAGAGTTGAAACTTGCAACTTGAAAACAGTGGTGTAAATTAAATCATTTTCCCTTTTTCAGATACAATAAAATAATAATCGTATTCCTTAAGCGTTTAGAATATTGTACACCTTCTATCAATTAAATAATTATGTCTGTAGCGGGTCAAGTAACTCTTCAACAGCTGCAGCAAGATTTACAGAATGAGTTGACTACATCTAATCAACTATTACGACAAATGTTTGTTTATTTTGTATGCCTAATAAATTGTTTGCTAATATTGTCAATAAGCCTATAAAATAGTAGCCTATCAGCTAATGACATAGTCTTGAGACTGACAAAATACTTCCACTCCAGTCCAGCTCTGTGCTGTTGTTTTTTTACGAAATTATATTTATAGTATTAATATGTTCTGTTCCAGTTCCATGGAATTGCAACAAATCAAACAATTGACTAGCAGCGGGGGTGAATTAGAAGCACAGATCATTCAGGTAATATTTGTTATTGATTGTTCAATTTCAGTCTTTGTTGTGCAAACTTAGTTATTAAGCAATAGGGCGAATATGATTTTTAATATCAACATCACAACACAAACACTATTCATTGAATTCTCAATCAAATAGTTACTATGTATTCTGTTCCAGAATGCTTCTTTATTATCTACACTCGCCAACATGCAACAAATTGATACAACCAATTTACCAAGGGTACAAAGAAAGAATATTGACTTAAATATAAATCACACAATGCAAAATGTTTCATATGAACAACATGATTCATTCCGAAATGCGTCTGACATGGATGATAGTCAATAAATGCCAACACTATTGTTTATTGAATTGAAATATGTATGAAGGCATATCCATGTAATCCCCAAAAGATTGTATTCAAGTGCAGTAAAGACGAGGTTACCATGAGCCCCTATTTAGTTATAAAGTAGGTAGCAACTTATGAAAATGTGCTTTGTAATAATAATAATTTATTTAATGTCAAGTTTTGGTTAGTTTAGTTATAAATCTTGGACTAATAACTAAACTAGATGCATTTTTAGAAAAGACTGCCCAAGATGCATTTTTAGAAAAGACTAAAAAGGTTATTTTCAAAGAAAGATGTCTCAGCATGATATAACATAGTAGTACCTACTTGAAATAAAAAATAAGAAATCCAATGTTACACCTACTCTTGCATCTTGTTTTAATATTATTTTATTAAATCAATCAAAACAAAATACTTAGATGTACTATATTATAATATGTCATGTATTATGAATAATTGAATGAATAAATAATTGCTATTTTGTACATAAAACTTTTATTCCAAATACACTTATGACTAATATTTAACATCACATAAAAGACAATTGTAAAGTATTACTAAACAATTTCAGAAGGCAACATGCATTTATATATATTACTTTGTATAATGTTAATATTACCTAATTAATTGGCATAGTACACATAATTCTTTATCATCACTCTAAAACTTCATTTGTTCAAAAGCAATGCAAAGTTGGTAAAATATATCATTTAAAAGGAAAAGTATTGTTTCTGTAACATGGTTTTTAATTTATCATTTCTCAACACAAAGAAATCATTACTTTAACAATATTAACAAGTGAGTTAGGTAAGTTACACATAAGCAACATTGTTAATAACATCAATTAACTAGATTAGACCTACAATTTCATTTATGGCCCATTATTTGTGATAATTAACAATAACTTATATTGCCTTATAATATTAGGTACCTTGTAAATATATATAATTTAAGATTTTAATTAAACAATTGTATTTAACAATATCAATAGCAATATTATTTTTAACATAGTCCTTAAATTCAATTGCTTCATTTCCTATAAGATACAGAATATTAGTACAGTCACCAGCATGCACTCTGCATGCATTTTTGATGCAAAATTATATCACCTAACTACTCCAAGATTCCATGCATACTACGAGTATTTACTAAGCTATGCTATCGTCTCAAACTATCTTTTTAGTAGGTGTCCTCAATAGCCAAACTTAAATTATAAGGCTTGTTGGTTTTGCTAACTTTAATTTGCTTAAACAATAATGCAAATGGGGGTGTAATGAGGTTTTTTTCTATTTTTTCGTAATTTGAAGTAATATTGTTTATATTGGTAGACTTGTTTCTATAAAAATGTCAATATCTAAATAAAATTGGAACCTTCATGGTAAAGACTAAATTGAAAATCATTATCGAAATTCGTCATTTTGTGACAGGTTCACTTGGTAGCGACTGTACTTACCTAAATATAAATAAAACTTTGCATGACTACCACATAAGTAAGTATCCCAAAAATGATACATATCATAAACTTCCAGCATAACATAACAATCACATTACAAGAAATGCTTATTGATGACCTTAGCATAATAGTAGTACGTTTATTGTGATCTTCCCTAAGCCATGGTAACAGCTTATAGACTAGAATATACAAACAACTTCTTAACTTTGCTCTCTATCAGTGTTGAAATAGAGCCGCCTTTTCTTTGAACATCTTCCTTCGAAGGGCTTTCTCCTCGGCTTCGCGACGCTTTTCCTCCTGCTCTTGTATGATCTCGTTATGGAACTTGTTGGATTTCGCGAGCTCCTCGATTTTGGCTTCGAAGAAGTTCTTTGCGCCGTTCACTCCTACTTGATCCACGTTGATTTCAGTTAGTCTGGCAAGTGCTTCCAGGCCGGAATCTGACTCGAGCTCTCCGGCTCTCGCTTTTCTGAAAATTAACGAATTTAATAATATACTTAATTGTATGTTTCTTTAATGTTGATCGTCGGCGCGTTGACTCGCTTTTGTATTTTGTATCGGACCTACAAGCCATACATGTCTGTTTTTCTGTCTAAACTCGCAAGGGAATCTAAACTCATCTGACCTAAAAATCCCAGAATTATGATAAAGCAATTTATTCGCACCTAGTGTGGGGAAGTCTGTATTCATGTTATAGATAAGTAAGAGGAGACAGATCCAATGTAGAGATGAAGATGAATGAGGGAGCAATGGTACTGAACCCCCAGTGCGCGAGTCTGACTCGCACTTAACCTTTGTTTTTCATTTACTTAATCAATATGAAATCGAACCCACCACTCCCTGCGCAGACGTAGACACTATTTGTGTCTGTAAACGAACGACGTAATATTTTTTATGCCTTTTCTAATTAGGGCAAACGCGATAATATCTAGAGTTAAATATTTTCTACAATTAAACTGAACTTTACTTCCTTCATAGTTGGAAACGTTATAATATTTTCCGGTACATAAGAATTTACAAATGACCCTGTAAACCGACAAACAAGAATAGTCCAATTGAAAACCACAACGATTTGTTATTCATGAGTTCTATGACGCAGAAGGATAAGAACTTGAGCAATTTGTTTTTTGTGGTAGGAATAAATTTCACATCATCATAATTTGTTTTCATGGATAGACTTGTCGTCGATTCGTCTTTAAAATTATATCGTCTTGATGACGCTAGCTCGGCAAGAACTATAAAAGAACATTGCGTTAATTGGAACTTATATGCAAATTAATGTGTCGTAGAATTATTTGTATGATATTTTCTCACTAGACTTTTCTTATTCTGACGGTTCCGGATCGGATCGGACGTAGTGTACTTACTATTATACTAACCTATAAATAAGTAAGAATTCTCTGAAGCTGATTTTGTTATCGCCATCCTCGTCAACTTCCGAAATCATTGCCTTTAGACCAAGGTGGGTCTGCGGGGCTCCCAGGCGCTCCATCATGCGCTTCACCTCGGTCAAGTCGAGGAACCCATCGCGACCCTCGTCGAATCTGGAAAGGAAAATGGACATAGGTCAATATCAAGCAGTCCATCATCAGAACCACAGTGGCTCGGATAGGAGAGTGCAATGTTCACAGATATTCGTTTCTCGTGGGGTCTCGTACCTACGTAGGTACTTTATTACTTGGCGCATCTATGAGTGAGACTCAAGCACGTTACATGATATTCTAAATAGAATTATCCTTCCCCTTGCCACTTGCTTGTTATGTATGATGCTGGACATTTGATAATAAATATGTAATGGGTTTCAAGCATGACTCAATGGTTTCCTCACATGGTTTGCTTTTCCTTATCCTACATAATTTCGGTTAAAATAGCAAACTGAATTTTACGCGAGGCGTTTATTTTGCCTCTTGCTAATTAAAATAATCAATTTAACATCTCATTTTATTAAAATAGGGATGTGTGTCATCAACATCATGATCATGATGCTACAAAAATAAACTTTGATAATTGATTTGCCTTCGACTCTACAATCTACATTAGTAGTACGAGGGCGGCACTGAAAATTTCGGGAATCAAGGAAGTGAAACAACATTACTATTTAAAAATGTATTTATTGCTTTTTAAAGTATTCTCCGCGAATATTGACACATTTTTCCATACACGAAACCAATCATTGAAGCAACCATTGCATTCGGAAGTTTGGGTCTCCAAAATGGCCGTTTTGTAGGCTTCCACAGCTTCTTCAGGTGATGAAAATCTCTGACCACGCAATTTATTCTTTATTTAAGGGAAAGTATAGAAATCATTAGGGCTTAGGTCGAGGCTGTACGGCGGATGGACTAATAATTCTATGTTTTCTTGCTCTAAAAACTCCTTTGTTCAGTGCGCGGTGTGAGAACTCGCATTGTCGTGATGGAGGATGATGCGGCGGTTGCAGTTCTCTTTACGGAGTTCAGAAACGACCTGTGGCAAACAAATGCTAGCATACTAATCTGCATTAACCGTTCTTTGTCCCCCAAGAGGAATAGTCGCAACATGGCCGGTTTTGGAGACAAACGTGGCCACCATTTTTTTTGCAACACTCCGTGAACGAACAATTTTTGTTGGCTTTAATTCATTTTCGAACACCCAAACTCGTGACTGGTTTTTTGTTTCGGGTTCGTACGCGTATATCCATGATTCGTCACCTGATACGATGTTGTATACAGCATTTGAGGATCCTGCATGTAATCTCCCGAGAGTTCTGACGCACCAAGTAACGCGAGCTGCTTTTTGCTCTTCACAGAGCGAATGCGGTATCCATCGGGAAAACAACTTTTTTACACCTAATTGTTCATGCAAGATTATTTGTATTTGACTCATGCCAATGTCTAAAGTTGCCTGAATTTCGCGGTATATCACATGTCGATCTTCTTCAATCAGCTTACGCACAGCATCAACGTTTTCTTAGGTGACTGCAGTTTTTGGACGACCTTGACGGGGATCATCACTGAGCTTGACACGTCCACGTTGAAATTCAGGAAACCAGCGATAAATTGTGGTTTTGGATGGGGCTTCATTACCAAATGCAGAAATCATCCGGTCAACACACTGTTTTTGTGTTAAACCACTTCAAAAGTCATAATAAATCATCGCTCTTGAATTTTCTCGAGTCAATTCCATTTTCTCAACGACTAAACAAGTTTGACAAGACCTTGTGATACGACCGAGAATCTTTTTTTAAATAAATAAATGGTATACGATTTTTAAAACCCTGGAGTTTGCAATTAAATAGATTTTAATATGACTGGAACAGTGGAAATATTCCATTCCCGATACTTTTAGTGCAGCCCTCGTAAGGCGAAATGTTGATGGAACAAAGTAACTTTTATTTTTATTTTAAAACTGCAAGTGGACCGTTTGACTTAGGTTCTTACGAAACAAGTAGCTAAAACTAGACTAGATTGCAAGGTTGAGTCACCACTACTGAATAGTGGCAAGTTTTCACATTACCACAACGACAATACCTACGCTACCCGTTCATAAAAGAAAGAAGGTCCGTTGGTTGCCCGTTACGCGTTATGAATGTGCCATTGTCCTACCTAGTTTCGTACTACCTACTATGAATGTTAATTAAACCTATATTGTGCCTATAGGTAGGTACTCTAATAACTTTCGCTCAGGCAATAATTTAACAGCTACTACGCTACTAATTGTTAATTCTGCATTTTTATATAGCATGCAACAATGGCACTATAGTTGTTAATTAGTTAATTGAAATTAAGCACATACCAACCTCATTATTTCATATCGGCTAATAATTACTTAATTAGATAATCCAGTCATACAGTCCGCTACTGGTTGGGTTGTTTAAATATACTGGTCTTGCTGACTTGTAACTCCTACCACATTAAGTAGGGATTATTAGAAATGTGCTTTGGTAGGTGTATACTTAGTAGGCAGACATCTGAAACTTTATTTTGGGAAAAGTTACACCAATGCTCTATTATTATCGGAAACCGTTATTTTTCTATTCTTTTATTCATTTATTCACAGAAATACACGTCCATTAGATGTTTGTAAATAATCAATTTCGTTACAGTGTACCTTGCCATGACTGGCATGTGAAAGTTAATTAGGAGAACATGTCAAAATATTAATAATCTCATGAAAAGTCATTTGATAAAATCATAACAATGTCAACAATCCAATTATACTAATCATTACAATTAAATGTCAATTACATAAAATAACACACAACCAATATTAATACATAAAATTTCACAATTATTTAATTCTAAAAAAACTCATTTACAGAGTAGAAACATTTATCGAGCAGCCACTTGTGCAATACATTTCTAAATTCAGGCATAGAAGCTCCCTGTATATAAGCTGGCAGTTTATTGAAAACTCTTATAGCCATACAAAATACATTTCTTTTATATAACGTTAAATTAATTTTGGGCAAATACAATCTGTTCTTGTGGCGAGTAGTCTTTTCTAATACCTGTTCATGCGTCTTAAAATTATCAGGATGTTTTTTTACAAATAGGCATAATTCCTTGATATATAAACATGGCAATGGCAATATTTTTAATTTTTTGAAGAGTGGCTTACAACTATCTCTATAGCCTGCCCCACACATCGCACGCATGCATTTTTTTTGTATTTTAAATACTTTTTCGGAATCAACAGAGTTCCCCCAGAGAATAATTCCATAATTTAGTATAGAGGAGACATAACCGTAATATGCCGACATCATTGCTTCATTGTTTGAAACGTATTTTAATCTTTTTAATACAAATACAAATCTGTCTAGTTTATTGCACACATTATCGATATGTGGTTTCCAAGTGCAGTGTTTGTCGAGAATTACACCTAGAAATTTAGTTGTTTCGACCTCATTGATAGATTTATTTTGATAATGGATATTTAATTTAATGTCTCTCGATTGAGTTGTCTTAAAATGTATCCTATTTGTTTTGTCAATATTTATTTTCATATTATTACTATCTAACCATGTCATCAATGTTTTTATTGTGTTGTTTATTTCAGTTTCAAGATCATAAGTTTTATCTGCTTTAATTAATATAGTCGTGTCGTCAGCATAAAGTAAACATTTGTGTCGTATTGTGTCGGGAAGATNAAATGTGCAGGTGTCTACATAACTAAGCTTGCTAGATAGAACGTGTGCAAGAACCGAATCGCTCTGGTTGGTAGGTAGGTAGGTGCCTCCTACCTATGTAATTATTATAGCGACACTAATTATGAGAGCCTAGGTCTACCTTGTTGTTTTTGGTAGCATTCGCGCACTTGCTCATTGTTTCGTAGGTTACAATGTAAACACTTTTGCAAACATGTAACATGATTCGTAGGTTTATTTATAAGCCAACCACATACTCGTACCTGTTCATATCTACAAACAACTCTTAATGACACTACGCCGCCGCCTAATTACGTACGCCTACCTAGTTACTATGATAACAGTGATAAACTAACCCCAGTAAGACGTCACATTTATGGGTTAATCTTTATCATTTTACTTTTTATTTTTTTTGTACAGCCTTGTACCTAGTTACCTACTTAAATATAAATTAACACATGAATAAAGAAACTTGTGACATTATTCCACGCGAAAACAACAGTCCACCTACCAACGACATCATGCGAATGTTTTTTTTATCATTATCTACCACGAAAGGTCACGCTAGATACAGTTTCTGCAAGATACTTAACTAACACAACAGAAACATGTCAAATGTCGGCGAACGGAGTGAATACAAATTGCATTGTCTAGAAACTAGTCTCGTCAAGGTGAGGCAAGGTAAGCCAGTTAACTGAACACGTACAGTCGATGGCAAAAGCGATGTGAACAGTAGAGTCCGGTTGGTTGATCCACCTGATTGATATTTTAAATTTTTAATCATTCAAGTCATTAAAATATGCCTTCTCCAATATGTTCTTCATATTATCATAATTCTAAAACCGAGATAAAAACTTATTACACCTTTTATCTAAATCGGTTCAGTGGCGTGAAAAAGTAACAAACAAAGCTTACACCATCCTCTCTCAAAATTTGACTTTTATAATTATTTTTTTATTATAAGGATTCTATTCACACAAGACAAGTGCAAGTTACCTAGCTAGGTCTGAAGCAGTTTTAGTTTAGTCTATTGGTAGATAGGAAATTACAATCAAAAATTAAATGGCTAATGCCCGTGACGTAAGGGAGAGATACAATCAGGCTTTGCCAAATATTTCATGTTTTTCACGAATTGTCTTCAGTTTGCGACAGTAAGCATTATGTTTTACTAGTCGGCTAACTCAAATTATGATCGATAACACTATTAGTAGAAGGTATGATGACCATGAGACTAACACGAGTATGGCAGAAACTTATGAGGCTACGAAACCGGTACTTAACACATCTATTTATTTCGCTTACACGTAGAGTCAAATTGTTATTGTTATTCTTTATTTTGTTATTCCAACAAGAACAATTTCAATCTTCACGTTTAAGTTTTACCAATAGGTATTAACTGTTTAATAAACCCGATGTCTAACGCGTTGAAATAAATTAAACGGACTATCTAATGACGTTAATAGCATTCCAAGTGCGTAATGTAATGTATTAACATTCGTGGGAACATTAAACTGCTGAAACATTTGATAAATTAATTACAACAGAAGGAAGAGTGCTAATAAAAATGTGTCTACGCTTGTTAAATAGTTTGCACTTAACGTGGTGAAATATACACGCGATACAGGCATGACACTCAACAACACCTAAGTTAAATTATATTGTAACTGTATGTTTCCCAAAAATAAATAAATAAATAAACACTAGTGCCTAAATAATTCATATTATTACAGTAACAACTATTCAAGTCAAACGCTTACATAACTATAAAAATCGCAAGGGATTAAGATTACATTGATTGACTACAAGGTTACAAGCACAATTTATTTGAGTGCCTTACCCAAAACTTGCACGTTATCTTGAATTCGAAACTATAAACAGTTTATGCATCCTAAAGTGTACACAAAAATATAAGTGACCAAAATAAACCAAACTCAGTGGGAGAACCGATCCCAAAAATTATGACTGTTATAAAAATTCAAGGAACTGCGTGTGAGTGCGCTTAATCTTTAAACATTTGACACAACGTTGCTGTCGGTTGTCTACATTTAAAATCATCATGAAAATGTCATAAGATCTTCCTCCTTTTCAAGTACGCTCGTAGCCCGTAGCTGCGTAGCAATCACCCACAATGGTCAGCAGCCACAGACCACACAACCAGCAGCCACAGACCACACAACCAGCAGCAGCTGCCTATATTATTTTTGCTGTTTATAGTACGCGGTCATTAGCTTTGATTTTAGTACATTAGTTTTGCAAAAGTCAACAATATCTTCGATTAACTTGATGTGCCATCGACCGTGTCATGCTAACTCCTTTTAACTGAGTATCTATTTGTCTTATGATTTGTCTCGTAAAACTCAGCCGAGCGCGAGCTATATTAAATGACGATATTTAATACTGAAGATAAAGTTTATGAGAACGTTCACATTACAACACAGTGGAAGCTTCGTTTAATTGCCGTACTCGTATATGCTACCTTTAAACCGCACATCCTTTGCGAAATGGATGTAATTAATTCCATTGGTCAGTATTGCAAAATTATACCGGGTATTACCAAACTGCTTTCAAAATTACCCACCAGACACAATCTACAAATCAACTTTGCCAACTCGTAAATGTTTTTCGTCCGTTACAATTACAGCCTTAAAATGTGTTTCAGTGTTTAACCTGTGTGGTATTCTTTGCTCTCCGTCTGAAATTTCATTATCACAACAATAGAACCCGGCAAGACGTCTCACTCAACCAACAGCATATTTTACAATTGCTATAACGACACTTATTACAATAGACCTTGTCGGAGTTGTCGGAACTCTTTCATTGCTACTACTTGCCTAAGTATGGCAAATTGGCGTAGGTACTAGAAGAATAGTATAATATACATTTTAGATAGCCAGGTCCTCTGTGGTTGAGGATTCCGTGTGAAGCTCGCTTAAAAAATATTAAAAAATAGTCATTAAACACACACTTAAAATTATTCATCTTGAGCGAATGAATTTCAAAATAAGAAGAAGAGGTTATTACTTACTGCACTGTTACCTAATGAACCAAAATGATTACATTATCATGAAAAGACTTAACCCTTAATTTTCTCGAAATTTATTTTCATCTTAACAAAAAATTTCCAAAAAAATATCCGACTGTACCTATACTAAACGATTCCAAAAAAGTACACTAAGAAGCAGAAAATAAAAACGTTATTTAGGACATTATATACCTACGGATACGGATGCAGGTCATAGATACAGCCTATTTTGCCCTACTTTTGTTAAAATCAGTTTGTAGTTATGAAATCTACTGTTTCAAATATAAGTAACTCAAGTAATCTTTCCTTTAGGAAGACTCACTAATCACTTTACTTTTACAGTGATTAGTGAGTGAGTCACCTTAAAATTAATATAAAATCAAACTACAAGGGAAGGAAACGAGATTACGATGACGAACCTCGTGTAAAGTAACAGGTGCTTCAATGAATGAGTGATTCAAACTGGCTGTCGTCACCTATAATACCATACTAGAAGTTTATTAGCATTCTTAGTAATCAATTCATTCAAGGAAATCTACTTCATTGATAGTTGACAAATATTTCTATTGACCTAATTTCAAATAAAAATTGTAAGCGCGATTTTTTGACGAAATGCATTTTCAGCTAGTTACATAATATACATAATATAATATTATTATAGGGTACGTAACGTACCCCTTTATTAGAATTCAACTAAGAATATGAGAGAACAACATGTCAGTTTTTTTTTATCATACAAAACAATGTGGGCTGAGCTCGGCTCGGCCAGACGAACGGAGTGCGTGACCCAACATTGATTTTGTCGCTGCACTCAACACCGGACTTCCTCTCAGATGCATTTTGATTCGTGACTCATTATTCAATCACTTATGCACCAATTTCGACCTTGTTGGTTGATGGGTTCTCAAATTATTATTTCTCCAATCATCCTTCTAAATAAATAAGTACAATGTACCATAACGGAAGCAAACTGACATTGATCTGATTTATCTACTACGTTACAAACTAATACAACACATCTAATATTAATTAACGCCTTCTCTGTTTATGTAAAAGGTAGGCAGCTAGTCAACAACACTGACGCATATTTAACACGCCCAAACTTCTGTACTTACCTAGAAGTTTGTTGTAAAGAAGATGAATCATTGAAACTTAAGTGTGACAATCCATAGTGGTAATGTTATAAATTTCCTCATTTAACACTTTTAAACAAATAATAAAACCGTTTGTATTTTTATCATACGAGGACGGATTCTACATCATTAATGAATCATGCATGATCGAAGTCTCAAGTTTATTTCCAATTAATGAGTATTTTACAAAATCTAATTGTTTATATTGTGGGAGATAGGAAACAATGACAAAAATCGCCAACATCATCGATTAGGCACCTATCTCTCCTTTTTACATAGGATACAATGTTACAATTCACTGAACTAGCATTGGTTTGTTTAATAATAGCACAGTAGATAAATCATAATAGCAAGCAATTGATCCAATCATTGAATGAAACTACATCATCATCATACCTATCTACTGTGTTGTTGATACCACAGAGTTGTTTATTTAGTTCAGAATAACAATGTATCGACTTTTATGTATGTATTTTTGTTGATGTTTTATTTGTTTGATTATAAATAACTGCATACATATTACAAACATATTTGAAATATAATTAATAACATAACACTTTCATTTTGAAGTGAAAAAAAAGTCATAACATTGATTTCAAATTCGTTATGATTGCTTTTTTATAACAGTTAGCTTTTCAAAAATACCTAAGGATTTATTATGAAATCTCAAGTACAAAGAACTCATTTGTGTCGTGTGAATTTTGTTATAACTTCGCATTATGCTCAGGAAAGTTTAAGTTATTCATAGCATGCCGTGACGCTATTCATTTTTGTCTCCCACGACGATGCGATGTCATTTCACCTAATAAATTGCGTCTAGTATGTTATAACTTCATTACAATTCGGAGTGAATTAGGTAATTTTTTATACCCGCTTTCACTATTGCAAACATATTAATTAGGTAACGTTACATGCATGGGTCAAAGGGTTAAGATTTTTAGCAATTTACATGTCACTTATTAATGAAATATCTTACTAATATACTAAATAGAATGCTTGAAATTATCCGTTTGGTTTTGATAAATACCTATTCAACATTACATAGGTTGTGAACACTATCACCTTTATTTCTACTTCAGTAGCCCTATCTATCAGTTTTGTATCTTAGCCGCATGTTGATATTTCTTATCATCACATAAAATAAACTAGCATTTAAACGATTTGGAGCCGTAGTAGGTGACAAGGTTAAAACAATTTCAAAGTCACGAAATAATCTACCTATTCAAAACTATATTACAGGTACAAAAATTTGTAGTAGGTATGTTGATAGACATTAAATAGGTACCTACCCAGGTTAATATTATTTAAAATATAATACATAATAACTCTACACTTACTTGTTAAAGGTCTCCTCGTATTGTTTTATTTCCTTCCTGGAGAACTCGTGAAATTCCGTATAAACGTTAACAAATTTATATTTAGGTTTAACTTCGAGCCCCTCTTCGAGTTTATCATTGATCTCCTGCCTCCTTGTGAGAATTCCACTTAGTTCTTCCGTGGCGGACATTCTTATAATTTGCGCGCCAAAAAAGGTCGGTAAATGTTTTTTTTTTGCAAGACGGCGTTCGATACCGCGTGAGGTTGTGCCCCGCCAACGACCTTTAGGATACTGGTGGTTTGGCCGGTCCGCAGACGCCGCGCCGGGCCAGTCAGTGCCTTCTCACTCGCGCCGCGCTCCCTCGCGTAATCAAGTCGCGGACGCGGGGGTCTCGGCGCGGATCGACGCAAATACGTGCCGCGCACACCGGCATCCACCGGCTATCTAGCCGCAATCGTTGCATGACTATTTGATAACCCAGCAAATAACTAGGTAGTTCGAATAGCAAGTCTAAGTTTGGATAATGATTATGGATCACCTAGTTACATAAACTTAATTAAAATGGCGAGAGCACAGGTTGGTTGAGAGTTGAGACCATTTAATCAGAGATAATAATAATACGACAATTTTATTTTTTATTACGATTTTAATTATAACGATTTAATGAGCTCTTCAAAGGTCGAGCTAGTCAAAAATTTTCATTGCTTTTGGACTTTAAGCATAGGGAATAAAGTTCAAAATAATTAAGTGGTGGTTGTGGTCACCATAATATTCCCTCTGCCTTATTAAGGGTTAAATTTTAACGCGCATAAGCAATCGTAATAATATTACAAATATTGTTAATGGTCTTTCCTTCTTGAGTAAGTAATCAATTTACTTACCGTTAATTGTTGCTAACTCATTTGACGACATAATTATTAAGCATGTAGGTAGGTAATTTTTTAAATGATTCACCACTTACTACCCCATGCCACAAAATATAATATTATGCTCATGCCTACTATGCTCATGGGAAATTGTTTATTGGATGATTGATAGACACATTAAGGCTAAATAATTGAAATTAGCCATTATTTTTTAATTAAATGTGGCTTCAATGTTTTGGCCAAGCCTTTACATGGTGACCTCCTGTATACATGTATTTAAGTGCTACAGCGTGTTTCAGTCGATATCCCATAAGTCTAAACTTATGACCTACCTAGGCCCTAGGCCTAGGCTAATAATAAGACCACATAAAATAAAATAAACATGAATTATTGCATTTAAATTATTAATTCAATTCTTTTTTTTTAGGTGTAAGTATTTTTTACACGAAATAATTCGCCATGATAATCAACATCGCATTTTTTTTACTTAAAATATTAATAATTTACTTAACTTATCAAAGACAACTATGTATCACTCATTCATGATGCAAAGCACAGGCATAAGTAAGTAATCCTATAGAAACGAAACATTGACGATACTTATGTCTGAAGAAAACAATTAGTTTAATAAGTCATGTTATTTTCTATGGATAGATACTCGTATGTTAGGCCTACTTACTTAACAAATAAAAGTTACATTTGCATTTTAATAATAGTGCCATAATATGTTGAACTCCTACGCAATTTCATAATTGATGGTAATGTCTCTTGGGGGAGTTAATGGTAAATTACTCCATTTGTCGCCAAGCCTACATTTCACAGAAGTCTACGGGACTTGGTCTCAGTTGCAAGTATTGCTTACTCGCATCATGAGGCGTCACTCCAGGTTAACAAAGCAAGCTTGTGTTTCATCCTTATTTTTTAATTGATAACTAAATTCATTGTAATAATAATTGTAGATCGGCAAGCGGTGATATACCCAATGGTTCAAAGAAGAATCACTGTGATGATGATGAAAGCCTAAAGAAAATAAAAAGCAAGAAGTCTGGAATAATTAAAAAAACTTTGAAGGACTATTCGGAAAATTCTAATCTCCATGGACTCAAGTATATTGGGGAAAAGGAACGGACACTTCTGGAAAAGTGAGTCTATTTATATTTATGCACACTTATCTTGAAAATAATGAACCAGAAATTATAAATTACCTTCATAACCATAATATTTTTTATAGGCTGTTCTGGACGTTTATGTTCATTTCTTGTGTGGTGCTTTGCGCCTTACAAATATTTAAAGTTTATACAAAATGGAACGACACTCCTGTCATCGTAACCTTTGCCGAGACCACCACTCCAGTCTGGCAGGTACAGTGCCAGTCTGCTGTAGACAATTTTTTTATCTTTTGTTTTTTAAATAGATTTGATAATTTTATTTACCTTTTATACACTAAAACTGCTCGTCCTAAAACCTACTGCTTTACTGTTCGTAATGGTAATGCCTAGAGTCTACACGGACACAGTTATATTGACCTGATTAGCTGACACATTACGCACTACTTAATCATAATATTATTATGGCTTTTTCTGATAGATACCGTATCCAGCAGTGACTATGTGTTTAGAAACAAAGGCCAAGCAGACTACGTTCAATTACACTAAATACTTTCATTTGTATCGAGCCGCGAACCACGGCAACATTACAGAAAACGAGTAAGTTCCTCCGTTATTTTTTTTCCGAATCGGTAAGGTCCTATCAGTCGGCTCGTCAAGTGTCTGTCACGCTGATATTAACTTTCATACATAATTAATGACCTGTCAAGCACCGCGTGGTCAGCATAATATTAGGTAGATATCCAGCTTTATTTGCTTACCAATAACCAGCCCAAACCATGTACCTACAGCATTTAAAAAAAAACTAGAAAATATTACTGTGTACCCACGACACTCCATGTCCAGTCGAGGAAATGCTAGGTCGCTTTGCTAAATAAAAGCCAATCTTGCAAACAACGGCATATTGTTCCCATGATAATCAAGTTTCATACAAAACGATGTTACTATAAAAGGACCCGCCGAATACTTTACTTGCGCGAGCTAAGTAAGCATAGCGCCATCTATTGGTAGTTTTATGAACTTTTGCTATCTAAATGGAAACCGCACCAGTACCAGTACAAGTAAATAGGTACCTAATACGAGTATACTCTAAATTTTTTAACTAATTTAAAACAATAACGGAAAAATAATTAAGACCTTTATCAATTGTTTTTCAGAATTCATTTATTTGAAGACGTATGTTTAGTTTGTGACGCCCATTTGTCCCCCGTGGAGGGAAGAATAGTATCAAAAAATGGTACTGCAACAGTCGAAAATATTAAATCGGTAAGTCTGAGAGTTTTTTTTATTGAGTTATGTTTAATTTTTGAGACCAGGCGCTCACCGGCCGAAAATGTGCTATGCCTACCCGGACACGGAGCACGAATAAAATTAAATATCGTTCACTTTTATTACGATACTAGCTTTTGCCCGCGCCTTCACCCGCGTGAAAATTAGTTTCTCACAGATCGTCATAAATTTTAGCGTATATATGTTATTCTAGGTTATAAACATTAATTAATACTGTAAAGTTTTTACTTTTTGCGTGAGAGTTACAAACATCCAGACATCCAAACTTTTTATAATAGGTACCTACTTAGTATCGCATTATTATGCCATTTTATAATAGGTATTACTTGGTAGGAAGTAGGATGGCAAGGCTGCTCAACCTCAGGCCCAGGCGAAAGAATTTTAAATTGGCCCACGCAAGTAGGTTTGAATTGAGTTTTTATTGCGCTTGTTCTAAATTAACTGAAATAGGAAATGTAAGTGACCTGTCGACTGAATCCACCATTTGGCCCAGTCGGACCACTTTCTGAAGAGTCCTTCAAAAGGTTGAGCAGCCTTTGGCTATGGTGTATTGGTTGTTTATGAAACACTATTACCTACTATACGATTTTATATTAGGGTTCTATTTTATAATAAATTCTCAATTTAAGGTGTCACCTAACTTAACCGAAACATTTTCTATGTGTAAATGGCAAGACAATACTGGCAAATGTTCATCTATGTTCTCGCCTATTCTGACTGAAGAAGGCCTTTGTTACACGTTCAATATGTTACCAGCTGAAGATCTTTTTAGAGTTGAAAAGTAAGTAGATACCTAACTAAATGTTACGATAATAAAGTAACAACATAGATAAATATTGCTTTGTTGTTACTTCTACTTTTCATTCACAGAGTACCTAATTAGGTACTTGTTGAGATTTTCCATTGTGATACAAAAATCTAAACTAGTGCTAAGCCGCCTTAAGTTAATCTTTTCTTAAAGGTTTTAAACCTTTGTTTGTCACCTGTCATCCGCTTTGCAATGGAGGGAAGTCGAACCTTAATTTCGAACTCCTCCTATGTTCTTCTGATTAATTTCGTTGCGGGTCCAATGACAGTTTAACTTTCCCCCGGGACAAACTTGACCTTCATTGGTTGGGTTTTTGTGGCGGTCAAGCTGTAGATCCTGGCTACACAGGAGTTGCAGTGGTGGGAACGAGAGGTGGGAATAGTCCCGTTTAAGCCGCCTTAAGTTTCTTTTTCATATTAATCATGTGAATAATTTGTACGATTTTTTTTTCAGCTTACATAGAGAATATCCATATCTTGAGCTAAATCCAAAATCTATAGAGAACTATGATCCTAAACACACCTGGAATTTAGAATCAGGTTATAACCCTGAGGCACCTATAAACACTTATCCTTTCAGAGCAACAGTAAGTCCGTTTATGAATTAAAATCACCATACTCCAGTTCCCAATTACCTACTACTTAGTTACCTAAAAATAATGTTAAGTTGTTGTGTTGTAAGTAAGCCTCTTGTGAACAATTTTTTTTACTTATTAGAGCTCACCGGGTCAAAAGTGGTTCGGTCCTGATAAGTAGGCCTACTTACCTATAGAGAGATCCAATCCAACACGTAAAGTTTTAAGTGCAAAATATAATCATGAAATATGATAGTGGCAGGCAAGCTGGATCTAGTCTAGACAGCTATTTCCAACACACAGAGCAACGATTCCATGCTCTGTCATCCAACATGATGTAGGTATATTACCTATACTACTTTTAGTTCATGAAAAGGCAGACTCTTGGGGAACTCTGGCAAGGGGAAGATGAAGGCAAATGAAGGTCTCTTGATTTCTCTACTCACCACAGCTACCCAAATATTGCTCTGCGGGGTTAATTATTAATGTTATTAATATTATTATCATTTTTGATTGCCAAATCACTCGTGTTAAATTGTTGTATTAGTAAACTCTACCTGAATTTGTCATGCTTACTTGCTTATTACTTTTAGGGATTTGGCGCGAAATCCGGTATTTCTTTTGTAATGGAATCAAAAAAATTTGATCTAGATTACCTCTGTAAGGGACCTGTACAAGGTTTCAAGGTAAGCTAAGAATATAATGTTCCTTTCAAAGTAATATTCCTAATTTCAATATTTGTGTAATTTGAAAATATTATCTGTTCAGATTCTTCTACACAATCCTGCAGAGTTGCCGCGTCTATCGCAGCAATATTTTCGTTCTCCTTTAGCACAAGAAATAGTTGTTGCCATAAAACCCAATATGATGACTACTTCAGACGGGCTAAAACCATATAGTCCAGAAAGGTAAGATATTTTACAAATGTACTTAAAGCACCGTGTTCATCAAGTTTAAAACTATCAATATGTTTACTGTTCTAAAATAATTTTAATTGTTTGTTATAAAACACAGGCGTCAATGTTATTTCCCATATGAGCGATACCTCAGATATTTCAAAATCTACACTCAATCCAACTGTGAAATGGAATGCTTGACCAACTTTACAAATGCAATGTGTGGTTGTGTACACGTCGGTATGCTCCGTAAGTATTTACATTAAATACTAATTGCTATTTTAAATAAACTTTCAATTTTTTTTATATTTTACTCTGTATTTTACAGGTTCTGCGGATATTCCAGTATGCAATGTTGGAAAAATGGCATGTGTAACGAATGCTCAAAGTGAGTACCTAAATAGCATTGATAAACATCATACCATTGATATCTCCACGTCTTTCTAGGTCGTTTCTTACGACTTATTTTGTAAAAAATAAAATTTAAAATTTCAGTTGAACTAGTGGTGAGCAATATAAAAGAGGGGCTCCATATTGAAGAAGCCGAAGGAAACAAGACCATCCAAGGGGCTCGACAGTTGGCTGCTCAATGTCATTGCCTTCCCGCGTGTACCTCTATCGAGTATAATTCGGAAACCTCACAGGCGGATTTTGACTGGAGAAAAGTCTCCAAAGCCGGATTAGTCCCATTTAGTGAAGATGATGAAGAGTAAGGAATACCTATGTACTCATTATTCGTTTGGTTTTATTCTTTAAGATCGAATGCTATAATATTGGTAGTAGGTATACCTATACATAGCTCAACTGTCACGAATTTCGTTGTGGTCTTTCTATGATTACCACACGCGTCGTGGGCGTTTTTATTAAAGCCATAAGTCCATAAAACGAATTTCGCAATGTGGATGTTTATCTGTGAGAGACCACAACGCGTTGTGACTTGTGAGCTATTTTTCGCTCAATCTGTTATTATCACTAATCTTCACTAATATAATATTAATAATATTTTTAGTTGATAAGAAGGTACTTACTACTACTTACTTACTTTTTTCCACAGTCTGTTACGCGCTCGTGTGAACGTATTCTTCAAAGAGCCCCAGTTCATGACATCTCGGAGGTCTGAACTGTTCGGACCGACTGACTTCCTCGCTAATTGCGGTGGTCTGCTAGGCCTGTTCATGGGATTCTCCATACTAAGCGTCGTAGAAATTCTTTACTTCTTTACGCTTCGGTAAGTTACAAAATGTGCTCTTCTTACTGAGATTACCATTTAAGTATCTGTATACGAATACGTTTGATGTAAACTCACACTACGCCCCCTGATTAACGATAATAATATAAGTGATACGTAAGTAAACCTTATGCCTATACCTAATTTTGCGGTCTATTCCACTTTGATCACCTGGCTTTGATGACCCAGGTGATCAAAGTCCACTTCCAGCGACAATTTTGTGTCCTTTGATCACCCACGGATATGATGCACTGGGTGATCAAAGTGGACTCCAGTTAAATTATTATTTTAGTGTCCTTTGATCACCTACATACAAATCACACCTCCTCTTATACTTAATGTACGGACAAACATTGTTTAGGTAAGTAACGCTTTAAAATATAAAAAAAAATTTAAACTGTAAAAACTGTTAAAAAAATTGTCTATATTAAGAAAATGTTAGTAAGTACTTACCGTGTCTATTCAGATGAGGTGTGATTTGTATGTAGGTGATCAAAGGACACTAAAATAATAATTTAACTGGAGTCCACTTTGATCACCCAGGGCACATATCCGTGGGTGATCAAAGGACACTAATTTGTCGCTGGAAGTGGACTTTGATCACCTGGGTCATCAAAGCCAGGTGATCAAAGTGGAATAGACCAATTTTGCCACCCTGGATGCGTTCTGTCCCGACTAACAATGTTGTTGTACCTACTATTTTAAGTTTGCCGCTGGTGATATGACGTCACTCGAAGGGGAACGTCTATAACTTTATCAAACTATATTTAAAATGTTTTTTATTTATTACTATTGATAAAAATTGTGTATTTGCGTAAAATAAGACACATTAATTGCGTTCAATTAATCACTAACTACGCATTTAATCGCGGTTAGGGGAGGAGACGCGCATTCCACGGACCGACAAACTTAGCGCGAACGGGTAGTACTTAGTTACGTGATGCTGGCTGCGTTCACTTTGACCTGACGGCTCTGCCCGCAGAACACATCCAGTGTGGTAAATCCTTAAACCCTGTCATTTTTGTTATTCCTGTGAAGAAACATGCAGTCTCTTAGTTTTCTTGTATTTACAGAATTCTTTGTGCAATTTGGCGCCGACATAATGAAAAACTACGTGCAGACATCGTCCTAAATAAGCAAACGAAACTACAAGTTGATTAGTGCACCAACCTAAGAAATCTTTGGATAACGATATTTTTTTGTTGAGAAATCATGAACGTTTGATTATGATTATGTAAACCTTTAAACACACTCATGTACCTGTTAAATTTATGTAAAAAAAATTAGAATACCTACTAAACGCTTTATTTTTCGTAGTTGAACGGAAAGCATGGGCATTTTTGTCTTTTATAAATTTTTCGCTTAAGTACCTAATTATGTAAATTCTAACTCTATCTAATACATAATTATAAATAATGAAAGGAAAGTAGGTAGATTGAAATTTTAGTTAAGAGAGGTCAGTAGATATTACATACTTAATTATAAGAAATATTAAAATAATTACATAATACTAGCAAATTGTTTATTTATTATCTCATGCTCATATAAGTAATGTTATGAAACATCTGTTTATGTGATTTTAAACTAAATGTTCGTATAGCCTACTTTAATCACCATAAGTAATCAAGCAACTTTTATGTTGAATAAAGTTTTTCTTGATATCTTATCAATTTATGGTGCGACGAAAGCCCTATGGCGTCGATATAATATTCCCACTGTCCCCAGTGCAGTGTAGACAACGTTTTTTTTTTTTTTTTTTTTTTTTTTTTTCCAATTTTTTTTAAACTGCCTTTAATAATGTTATGGAATGAATATCTTTGCAGGAGTTTTCCGAAAATAACAGGGTGCAGTGTGGTTCCAGAGTCAGGTGAGGTAACTATCTTTTGTACATGGACTACATAAGGTGCAGAATCAGTATTTTTATACATTTGGCGGCCAATAGGAGTGTGAGTTGAGGCCGGTACAGCAGATGCAATCACAGGGTTTGTATTAGTTTTAGTGGAATCACTAATTGGAGTTTGAGCAGGGGTTGATACAGCCGAGGTATTCGTGAGGTCTTTTTTGGGTAAACCAACAACTGAAGTTTTAAGATGGCGGGAATGCTTTCGGCGCCTTTTTGCAGAAATTTTAGGGGAATGCTCAGAAACAGCCGCTTGTAAAGAACTAATAGAACTATCAGTATCCATATTAGCCGATTCATTTTCCTTTTCAGACGATACAGTAACAAAACTGGCTGGCGGAGGGACGAAACCCCCCGAAGGATCGGGGGGCTCGTTCATGTTGAAAAAAATATCAAAAAACTTACCTAAATATCAGCAAACTACACAAACTATATATACACACACTAGAAATAAGTAATATTTAAATAAATAAACCCTTCTGATCACGTAATATCAGTAAATAAAAAGTTTTTAAAATTAGCAATAAAAAACGCGCCCGTCACGCTCACGTTTCCCGCGCTTTTCTAGACAACGTTAATAATTCTATTAGGTAGGTAGGTAGTTATATTTTTTTTTATTCCCGTTATCGCCACTCCTCCGGCCGGTGGGGATAACTGGCTTAAAAATAATAACTGTTAACTATCTAATGTAATTCCCACCAGTGGAAAACTGGAATAAACCATAGAGTCGATGGTCCGGACCGGAGACAGAGATATCCGAGGAACGCGGGTTCGAACCCCGCCTAGCCGCTAAGACTATTGTTGTGCTATTGTGGTGAACCCACTCGTAGTACCTATCTACAAAGAATTTGTAATTATGTTACATTGGATGCGGTCTGCGGTTAGGTCTAATGAACGCAGCCCGCTCGTCAGTTTGCGTTCATTGGCTGCGTTTGGCCGAAAATAGCCGCTAGTAGCTAAATAGAAATTGTTAGCAAAATGGCAACCGCCGAAACTTTGAGGATATTTTCGGCGAGGATACGCGTGCTAACTTCAAAAGTAACGTTTTCTCATACATTTTTTGAGAACACTTGTGACACTTACCTCCAGGACGCCATTGTTGTTCTCACTCTAGCGCTATTTTCGGCTTAACGCCCCCATTCCTTGTGCCTGCATTGTCAGATCACGGGTCATAAGATGGTCCTAATTTCCTAGTGGTAGTACCCCAGATTAATGTTAAGTATAGTACCCAGAATGTATCAGAGATCGACAGTGTGGAAAATACATTATATTAGAATTTACATTATATTTTGTACAAATAATTAACAATTTTATTTCTTTATTCAGAAAACCACAGCTCTTTATAATAATAATATACAAACAATATTCTTAAAACAACATGATTCTGTGGTAAGTATAAAACAAAGCATTTTTAATGTATTAAAAATTATAAAAAGTATTAGGTATATTGATGAATAAAACTGCTCCATTTGATTATGGGTTAATAAGATTAAAAACATTATTTTATAAAGCTTTATTTTCACATTAATTAAACAGTGCTTGGGCCACTAGGTTTCTTTTTCGGAGCATAACCAATTCTATTATGAATTTCTTCGGTTGTTTTAGTTGCCCCTGCTCCTGCTCCTGCTAATGATTTTGGAGTGTCGTCTTGCATTTCTGATGCTAAATAGTTAGCTTGTTCTCTACGGAATATTTCATATTCTTGTAAATCATCTAACTTTAAAGTTATTTCTGTTAGAGGTCTTCGAATCATTTTAAAAAGTTGACCTGTAAAAGAAATATGAAGTTTAAATTTTAATGATAGTTTTTATTTAAAATTTTTTGGTTTTAAATAATAATAGAAACAGATACATATTATTAATTTAATTTAATTGATTCAGATAATAATTCAGGCAGGCAGCGTCAGTATTTAATAATTATTGTGTGGTTCCCGCGGTTCCCTTCCCGCCATAGTGTGCCCTATTCATGAATAAAAATATTGTAAGGTTGGTAATATGCGCTAGTGACGTATCTTCCAGAATATAGTTCCAAAATACTGGACTGTCCTGTCGATGACATTGACAGTGGGGCGCCACCGTCAATACCGTATCGCTGGTTCAGATTTTTGCCATGTTGGAAACCATATAGTTGAACGATGGTAGCGCCCCCCTGTCATTGAGTTTGGTGGGACAGTTCAGCGTGGGCCATCTATAACCAGGTAAATGATACTTAAAAAATTAAAGCTCTCGTCGCTTGACCCTGATCCTAATAAAAATAAATTCCCTACTTAAAAATATTTATTTATTTTTCACCAACTTATACTATCTTTACAGGTCAATAACCTAATGCGATAGAATAAATTACACTCGCGAGCAAAAGTATGGAATCATTTAGATAACATTGTTTCCACGCGATCTTGTGTTTCACGCGAATTTGTTAGTGACAAAAGAAGTGGCACCATTTTAAAGATTAAACTAATATGTATGTATCGAATTTGTCTTTAGTCAAATAAAATACATTTCAGATCCAGATAATGATTGGATAGCTAGTTACGTTACGAGCCGCCAAAGTTTTAACAAAAGTACAAACCACGGATAAAAAATTCAACTTAGAATACGATCTAAAAAAAATTAAGGTGATAATGGATTGCTAATGATCTTAAAAACGTCTCTAGCTTCTCTTTTTTCCAATGATATATCACATGCAGTAATTAGAAATTTAAATTTCGTCAAAAATTCAAAGTTTATGGAAGAAAATGGAATAATAATACAAAAATTATCCATACAACGAAAATCGATTGGTGTCGATACAAAATTACCGGTAACGAGAACCGGTATATACGACAAACGATATACAACATCATCCCAACACTAGCCTTTTTTCTTGAGCGTTGTTGTTGGACACGTCAATCGTTTTGCTTTTGCGTGGCATCTGTTTCATGTTTGTGTCGCATACTCTACTATATTCGTAATTTGTGCATTAAAGTGTTATTTAATAGAAACAAATAATACATACCAGGATGTTGTACCTTGAAGATTATTTGGAAAGTAAGTACTGTGATTCCGGATTGATCGCTTGATGACGTAACGTAACTCTATTTGGTTGGTATTACTGCATTGTGTATTTGTGACAAGGCGTCCTTGATACGAAAATAAAAAGCGCGCGCGAGTTTTAAAAAGATAGACAAATGAGATTATTTTATTTTAATCAATAATTGAATTAATTATTAATATTTCAGTGATTGAACATTTGCCACAAGAACTAAGAGACCGGTTTACAGAAATGAGGGAAATGGATTTATCTGTTCAAAGTAAGTTTTTCAAAAATCATACAGTGATACAACAAAGTTCTAACCGTATACCGAAATTAGCATTTTATAATAAAGTACAATAGATACAATACTCTCAGAAGCTACCCAAGCTGCCATTGAATTAATTAATACGATGACATGTACAGGTGACTTAATTAAATCAAATTAACCAATTTTACTAATTGTCTAGATAACATGGATACATTGGAGAAACGAGTGCGAACTCTTTTTGGTGGGTGTAGGAGAGGAGAGATGAATACAGACCAAGCTAACACTGAATTTGCTGATATTAAACATGGTTACAACAAAACTCTAGAAGAGGCAGATGAAAAAGTGGCTCTAGCTAACCAAATGCGAGAGCTAGTAGACCGCTATTTGAGACGGCTAGGTATGTATTTTATATTATTAAAAAGAGTATTATTAATTTGTATTTCACAATATTTTATAATAGATTGATTATTAAATTAAGTAGTATGTAAGTTCTTATTTTGAATGAGAAAAAGAAATGTATTAGGTATTTGGTATTTTTCTTTTAGATACTGAATTGCACAAATTCAAATGTGAATTGGAAGCAGACAACAAGGGAATAACTGAACTCTTGGAGAAAAGATCACTTGAGCTGGATGTCAATACTAACCACACTAGTACTTCTAACAATAACCATTACAAAGAAAACAGGTTGGTGTAGTGTGTAGCTATTTCTTTGAGTATCTCTCAATTTGCTAAAAATGCTAACTATTTGCCCACATATAATTTAGCTACCTTGAAGCTATACTAATTAATACCTAGTTACCAATATTATGGTATTCTTCAAGGTTAGAGCTAAAATATTGTCATTTTATTTACAAAAAAAATTCTATGTTTCTTATTGATAAATGAGTTTTTGTGATTTCCTTGAGTAAATTTAATTTGCAATCGTTTGTAGTGAATGATTATGACATTTTCTTTTGCAGATATCGAATCCGCAACGAGAAACGTCGGGAGAGCTGGGCGCCCAAGGACTCTCGTTCCCACTCTACTACCAGCAGCCTCTCAAGAACTGATACTGCTATACAGGTCCATTTTACTTGGCCTTTTTTACCTCCCACTTGACCCCATTCTCTGCATTTGTATGACCACAAATAGTTATCAGTGATGAAACTTAGTACTTTACTCACTTGTTACGGAGTAGATTGTATGAAACCATGATGTTTCCGAGCTGATTGTATTAAAAGTGGTAAAATGGCAACAACATACAATCAAAGATAAATCTTTACCATGCTACAGCAATAATTCAGAAAGTTTAGTAAAATTTGCAGAAGGTGCAGTTGCTAAATGCATTCGCTTCGAACTGACCAATCTGGAAATCATTGGATGAGGCCAATGTCTAGCATTCCTCTTCCTGTAGCTAAAATGATACTGAAACATTTTTAATATTCCATAGGCGGCTCTCGGGCGCGAATCATATACGCTGGGACACGCAGGCAGTGCCATAGCCGCTGCCGCCAGTCAAGCTATTGCAGCCACACAGCAGGTATGTTAATTATTTTTTTATTTAGACCTTTGCACATAAAACTGATGTACAGTGTTATATTACACATAGATATGCAAAAAATTGCTATGCTTACTTAGTTTTATTATGTAGAATGGGCTTGCTCTTGATAGCAATCTCACCCGACGAGATGTGTGGTGACGCGGGCTTACCCAGCAGATTTGGAAAATTTTATCTTACCTACTCAAAAATAGAATCGGTTTTCGCGATTTGATTATCGCTTTTCGCGCACTTTCGCACTATGAGAAGAAAATGCAATGCATTTACTTCGGATACTACAATTTTACTTTATCATTTCTGCTTGCATTATTTATTGTTGCAAATATAGTGTATCTTCAACTTTTATAATTTTTGCATGTATATCGTAAGGAGCTAGGCTCAAGTATAGTGAGTACCGTTTGTTATTCAAGTTCTGTATGTTTTATAATAATTATTGCTAGATTCGCATGAAGTAGGTAGGTATTAATAGCTGGGGGACAACAACAACTGGCTAATTATTCAGGCCTATTTTTGTCCCGCTGGGCCACCAATCATTTTCAACCGTCGAAAAACGTCCACTGCTTAGCCGAAAAAAGCCTTCAACACACAATTTCCACAACGGCCGGTCCTTCACTAGTCGCTAGTCGAGTAACTTTAAGAATAAGCAGGAGGGACGCGTGGTGGGTGGTTTAGTCGAACCAATCCATTTTGTTCTACTTTGACATGCGAGTAGCACTCCCCACCACGCTTTCGCTGGAGTTCATACAAAAACCAGTAATTGTTTGTAAACTGTACCTACTCGACCAAAGTGCGTACGGTATTTTAGTCAGTAGCGAGTAGTTTAGACATTAACTAGGCGAGTTACTCGGCTAGTCCGTAAAGCCTTGATCACACGTACCGAGCAAACGGGCGAGACAGTGCTCTCGGCCGAGTACTCGGTGCGTATGTTCATACATCTACTACAACGAGAGCACTGTCTCGCCCGTTTACTCGGTACGTGTGATCAAGGCTTTAAAGCAATAGGAGCGAAGGTAGACTGACCGATTGCAGCCAATGTCGATTTGTGTTTAGATGCAGCAAGGCCGCCGCACCGCGTCGCTCAAGGCTTCCTACGAGGCTCTGGCGGGCGGCGAGCTGGCGCACCAGACCATCCACACCACGCATCACACGCATGACCACGGTACAGTTCTCATTCATCCTACTAATATTATAAATGCGAAAGTTTGGATGTCAGAATGTCTGGATGTTTGTTTGTTACTCTTTCACGCAAAAACTACTGAACGGATTTTGTTGAAACTTTACAGTAAATAATATTGTATTTGTAACCCAGATTAGCATTATAGGCTATAATTTATGCCGATCTGTGACACTAAATTTCACGCGGGTGAAACCGCGGGCAAAAGCTAGTCTTCTATAAGCTTTTAGTATGGGACCGAGATTGAAATATCGAAGTTGTCATTATTGGAATATTAAATCAGGCAATTATTACAAAGCAAAGCATTAATCTGTGCCTAGAAATAAATGAAAAAGTTTTAACTTAAAGTATAGTAGAACAAATAAGTTACAACCCAGTAAAATTAACTGCGCACCTGCCTGGAATGCGAGTCTCCCTCGCACTCACCCGTATACCTTCCCGCGTTTTCCCCATCATCCGTGACGTCACTGCAGCCAGGTGCGCAGTTAACTTGACGGGGTTGTAGACAATACCCACAGAATCCATTCCATGCTCTGTGACAATACCCATCAAGGCATACATTTCTCTGTAGAGTCCATTGTCTATTAACCACTTTTATACAATTTACGTTATACCCAGCGCATTGAATAGTTATATTGAGCTTAATATGGGCCGTTTTTTTTGTCGATTTCAATTAAATATTACAAGTTGTACTTTAATACTAATTTTTCATGTCTAGGCCATGGTTTGACTACTAGTCACAATCAGAGCGGCAGTGCGCACGGACACCACACAACTTCGCACAGCCATAACGCCTCGTCCTCTTCAAATAAGAGACAGAAACAGAAGTAAGTGTTTTGTTAGATTTATATGGTTTATAATTTAAATACACCTCGTTAGTTACAATAATCGACTGTAAAAAGTGAGCGGACTCCTGACCAGTTTGTCGACAGACTGCCCTTAAGGCCCTTTTCACATGTTCCGGTTGCCGGCTAACCGGCGCCGGGTACCCGGTGGTGAAGTGTATGGGCCTGCCGGATTAATTACGCCGGAACATGTGAAAGCTACGTACCATGCCCATACACTTCACCACCGGATACCCGGCGCCGGTTAGCCGGCAACCGGGACGTGTGAAAAGGGCCTAACACTGAACAAACTGGCACTGCCCTGAACACTGAGATAGGAGCTGATAATTTTCAAGTGATTTTTAGCTGTGAGCGAAATGAAATGAACTAAAGGTGGGCTCCTTAACATATTAGTACCAATAAACATAAAAACTTATTGGCATATTTTTTTCATACTTCATTATATCAATAACCACCTTACTCTTACTTATTTTAAAGTTCTTTCCCTAGGCTAACGATAAAACCGCTTAAATATAGCTGTCTCTTTTTGTGTATTTCTTTCTTTTGTCATTTCGTGTGGTACACAATAATAGGTGTTTTTTATTATTATTGCTCAAGTTGTTTTTTTTTCTTATTCAAGGAAGAGCACTTACGCGTCATCTTCAGTTGTGGCGACACACGCTCAACCGAGCGTGACGGCAGCCAGCCGGTCATCTTCGCCTGTGGTGTAAGTTGTACCAATTTTCCTTTGGAAAATGTGTCATCATCATCATCATTTCAGCCACAGGACGCCCCCTGCTGAACGTAGGCCTCCCCCCTATGATTTCCATATCGCGCGGTTGGTAGCGGCTTGCATCCAGCGCCTTCCTGCTGCCTTTTTGATGTCGTCGGTCCACCTTGTAGATAAACGTCTTACGCTGCGTTTTCCGATACGTGACTTCCACTCCAGAACCTTGCTGCCTCATCGGCCGTCAGGCCATTGGAAAATGTGTAATACATAATAATATTATGTATTTCCAGAAACCTTGAAGGTAGTCAAATGCAACTTATAAATTAAAAACCGAATTAAATGTTACAGAGAGCATCTGTAATATTTTATTAAACAAAGACTTAAGCAATGTTTTTTTTTTTCAGTAATAACTTGGCCAATGTTGCTATTGAAGAACCAATGGAAGAAGAATGGACGTACGATCCAAACGAGCCTCGGTACTGTATTTGCAACCAAGTGTCCTACGGCGACATGGTGGCTTGCGACAATCAAGACGTAAGTGTGGCAAAAATAGTTTGGAAATGTAATTTTAAAACTGTGTTTAACAATACTTGTTGTGGGTAAATCCGGCTTACTTTTCAGTATTACTAATATTATTTTTATTTCTGTGCAGTGTCCCTACGAATGGTTCCACTACCCGTGCGTCGGGATCACGGCGCCGCCCAAAGGGAAATGGTATTGTCCGCAGTGCCAAAACAACATGCGTCGAAACCGCGCACATCGAAAGAATTAATTGTATTACTGTTGTTACCTCAATCAATGTCTAAATTATACCGTAAACCTCTTTAGAATCAATTTCAATAATGTAAAAGTATTGTATTGATTATAATAAACAACATTCCTCTTAGAGATAGTAGTGTTATTTTGATTCGAAATAGTGTGATTCTAGATCTAGATTAGAGAAAAGATAGATGCGGAGCAAGTAGAATAATGATGATTACTATACCTAAGACTACACCTTACGATACTTGTTCGTGCTTCGGATACTGAATAATACCAAAGGTCGCGCGACGAAAGTTAAGGCCAACATCTACTCGAACAGAGCCCCGATTACGGTAACTTTTAAGTTTTAACGTCTACAATCCAGACACGCTTCTCGATTCTGCGATACGATTGGTCGTTCAACAGCGTACGTCAGCTGGTTTGACCAATCGTATCGCAGAATCAGAAACGCGTCTGGATTGTAGACGTTAAAAATTACCATAATCGGGGCTCAGATGTACGATGGCTCCAAGATGTACTCACAATCACAGAGCACGTAATAGCTCAAAATGATGTAATGTTTGAATACAAACAATACATTGAATACGTTTATTACCTCGCCTCTAAATATATGTCAGCAAGGGAGACAAAGCACTTTGTCAGTCCAACTACGCAAAATATCAGCGGTAGACAGACAAATATTTTTCATGTGTTGATGGGGGTGTGCAGGCCTCCCACAGTCCCACTAGGTGGACCGACGATCTGATGAAGGTTGCGGGAGGTGCCTGGATGCGGTGCAGGACCGGTCTTTGTGGAAATCCTTGGGGGAGGCCTTTGTCCAGCATTGGACGTCTTTTGACTGAAAATAACGAACGATGGGCTCAACTCTCGTAGCGCGACCTGTAAAATATTTGAATACAGTACACATAAAATATCAGTCAAAAAATACGCAAGACTCAGCCAAGGCCAACTCAGCGTATAGAGATACAAATCTAAGCTTGTATTGGTCGCTTCCTCTCCTCCTATCCCCCCACAATAATTAATTCATAAAATCATATTTAGCTGCAAGACTCAATTCCTCTGCCTGCCCTGCTGACAAAGACGTTGAAAAAAAATTTGCATCGTTTCGTTCGTCTATGGCACAGGTCTATGGTTTCAGGGTATGTTCCGATTTGCACTGTAAGGTCATTTAAGTTATACGTCCATGGGTCATCGAAAAGCTTCTTTTTGTATGGAGTTTCAACGGATTCGATTTTCGATTCGATCAATAAGTGCCACTTGTTCTATCATATTAACATCATAATACCATACCATAATTCTGCAAATAAACCATTTTCATTTTCACAATTTTCGAGATAGGAGGAGTGATTTCGAGAAAAAGTTTAAGATGGCAGTGCTTGCAGTGCATATCGGAACATACCCGTTTGGCATTTTCTCGAAATGAAATGTCATGTCATGTCATTGTCAAATTGACATTATAAATTTCCATGCTTCTTGCTTTTTCTTCGGCATTTTATTTTGTAAATCCTGGTTTACGTTGAGTTAGGTACCGCGCATTTTCTAAAACTGAGTCTTTCCGAAAAAATCTGTCAATATGTCTGAAGTTAAAATCAAAGAGGTGAGAATATTTTCTAAATAGTTTTCCACTTGCTTCAATGACCATTTTTCTTTAGCCCTGTATCATAAACTGTTTAAATTTTAGCTTCGTAGTGACATCGATGAACTGAATGAATTACTCAAGCAAGCCAAACGCAAAAAAGTTCAGGATTTGTTATCTCTCGAAATCCGCAAAATGGAGACGGAGTGGATAAAGTTAAAAGAGAGTGAAAATAAAAGTGCGCCGGTTGATGTTGCCCCTTCCGCATCCACAAGTGTACCAGTCCAAAGCAAGAGATATCAAATTAAACTTAATGGTTATGGTAAGGTTCCAAATGCATCACTTAGGCCCAGAACAGACGGTGAAACGCAACTGCAACTGCCAGTTACTTTTGAGTTGCATCTAAGTTTATTATTAAATAGGTAAAAAGAGTAAGGCCCAGAACAGACGGTGAAACGCAACTGCAATGAATCTGCAACTTTCTGATGATTCTGATGAATGAAACTGAAAGTTTCAAACTGGTCGCGTCATGTTTGGTCTCTCAACGGACGCTATGGCAGAAACTTAGATGCAACTCAAAAGTAACTGGCAGTTGCAGTTGCGTTTCACCGTCTGTTCTGGGCCTTACTCTTTTTACCTATTTAATGATTTTGGTGCAAAATTAGTGTTAGGCCGCATTTTAATCTCGCGATTCATTTACAGGCTGGGATCAATCGGATAAGTATATTAAAGTGTTTGTCACACTGAAGAATGTGCAGTCAATTCCAAAGGATCAAGTTTACTGCAAACTGACGGACAGATCAATGGAGCTACATGTTGAAAACCTGGAGAACAAGGACTACTTGCTGGTTATTAATAAACTGCTGGAACCCATCAGTGTTGAAGATAGTCATTGGAAACAAAAAACAGGTGATTTTACTTTTGTCTTTGGTATTTTATAAGTAATCTCGCTCTATACTGTTACCTCCTAAACTATACAGGCTGGCAGTGTATTTCCCAGACCCATAAATAAAATTAGAAATATTTTGTTCAACAACTTCTGATTGGTTGATAGCACAATTGTTCTTGTCAACTACATTCATACTTAATTTATTATTTATTGAAATTATATGAATTAAGCTGAGAAACTAGATACATTTGAACATCTATTGATAAAGATTTTTGATTTGGTTGACTGAAATAATTAAAAATATTTTTTATTACAGATATGGTGGTAATATTCTTGGCCAAGGCCCATCCAAATGTGAAGTGGTCTCATGTAACAGAGATAGAGAAGAAATTTGAAGACCAACGCAATAGCCGCTTCAAACCTGATGACATGGAGACCAAGGATCCCCAAGATTCAATCATGAACCTGATGAGGAAAATGTGAGTAATAAAATCCAGTCATTGTATATTTTGCAACTTTATTTGAAACTTTAAAAACTATCTTTTGCCCGCGGCTCCACCCGCGTGAAATTTCGTTTGTCACAGATCGTCATAAATTATAGCCTATATTATGTTATTCTGGGTTATAAACAATAATACTGTAAAGTTGCATCAAAATCCGTTCAGTAGTTTTTGCGTGAAAGAGTAATAAACATCCAGACATCCAAACTTTCGCATTTATAATATTACATATTTTTACCCGACTGCCCCAGAAGGAGGGTTATGTTTTTTATTTACCTTACTATATTATTTTATTACTTTTTACAGGTACGAAAGTGGTGATGACGAAATGAAGAGAATGATTTCAAAAACGATGTACGAGTCTCAACATAAGAAAAAAACTGATGTGGTAGATTTATAATTTTATCTTATACCTTTTTTTCTAAATAATGGGTTATTAGAAGACTGGTGATTCACTAGTCTTCTAATGGTGATAGTTCAATTGTTGGGGATATTTTTGAAAGAATATAATAGGAGATCCGAAATACCAGACAATTAAATTCCTTTTTTGTGAGATCTAAAAATGTAGGGGAGACCAGGGCTGAAAGTGCCGGGGGTAAGTTGTTCCGATGCAAAATATCTCGACAACAGAAAGAATTAGATATGTGATCATATCATTTCGTATAATGCCTAACAGTTGGCCACATGCGACATAATACGATCACATATCTAATTCTTTCTGTTGTCGAGATATTTGCATCGGAACAATTTACCTCCGGCACTTTCAGCCCTGATTGAATAGATTGATTTCAAATCAAATTAAAATAAACTACTTAAAAATAATCTTTTTTGAGTTAATTTCAAGAAATTATGTAATTGTGAATAGTATCTGATCCCCTATTGATTAAAAGCTACATAAAACCGTTAAATAACAGTATGTTAACTTCAGTGAATGTTCCAGGACTTTTAATCACATGTACCTAGTTTCATAAATATTTGGTTTGTACAATATTCTGAATGTTTTTTTATTATAGGTATGAGTTGTGTTTTACTGTCTGTGACAATCTGAATTTATGCCTATATTTTATGTTCTTGTAAGTTTACCTTAAAAATAAGTGTAATGTTTTTGAATAAAAACTAGCTACTTAATTTTTTTAAATAATGTTTTCATTACTCCCCATATTTTTATTATTGGTGAGGATGTATGATTTACACATTTGGTAAATAAAACATTTTAAAATCAAAAATGGTTAGGGTTAGTAAAAAACAACAACTTGACTTATAATAACACATCTATATTCATCTACTAATAAAACATGAAATTTTCAACATTATTTTAAGCAAAGAACATTAAATAGGTATTATTGCGAGATATAAGTTGGAATGTTCAATCTGTCTTGATAAGCGCCTGGAAAGGTGTTCGTAGACCCAGGGATCTGGAAAGAAGCAAAATAATTAATAAAACAACTAGAGGTTTGCACCGGAGCGAGATTTTAACAACCGATTGAATTCACCGGTGATCGGGCAATCTCCGGTGAAAAACCGGAGATCACCGGAGAATAAAGAAATTTTGTTTCTATTTTTTAATTATACATTCAAAATGATGAAATAAGAATAAGCGATTGATATACTTTATATAATCATTTATTAAGAAAAAAAAAACGTTTTATATTGTTAGCAAATGCTGATTTTGATTTAAGAAACACAACATGTCAACAGCATCATAGCGTAACATGTTTCTTCTATCGTTTAGTATTTATTTATTTTTATTTTACTTATTTTATTTTATTATTTTTTTATTTCATTTATTTTATTTACCTATTTTTATTCTATTTAGATTTATTTGAAGAATATGCGCAAAGGATGACATTTTCTGACGAAGAACCAGAAGGTGATTGTGCTAGAAATATACCAAAAAAGCAACCCATAGTAATGAGCAATGAAAAATAATCACGAACATTGCAACAAATTATTTGGCCAGTTAGTTGCTAGTGAAATGAATCACATAAACGGACAAGACCGTTTTGAATTAATGACTGAAAAATAATATAATTAGAAAGAAACAAGGTTGTAAATAAGTGGCATGTTAAATAATCGTATAAAACAAAATATTGTTGAATGTGTCTTTTATTTGTGTTACTTTATTATATAAAAAAATAGATGCGACGATCACCGGAGATCAATCGGTTAAATACCGATTATTTCAATCGATTACTTTTACCGGTAAATCACCGGTTATTCTCCGGTACTCACTGCTCCGGTGCAAACCTCTAAAAACAACCCTCGGAGGGAAGGAAAGTAACATTAAGGTACGCGCTTATACGTTAGTACAGTCGAGAGCACTTCAAGCTTAACATCTATTTATTTATATAAGTTGTATTATAATGCTATTTTACTACAGAAAAAAAAACATCACCCATGTGCTGTCGAATGTACAAGAAGAATAATATCTATTCTAAAGACTTACTTTGTTTTCTTTTTGTAGCTGCTGTTGTTCATCAACATTGGGATGAAAATGCTGCACAGGTAGATTCCCTGCATTGTGTAAATCAGGTTTTGCCAGTTATTTTCATATGCTTTATTTTCATCTTTGGCTCTAGTGTTGCCGTCTGTGCTTACTTGGTTTCTGGAGAAATCGCTATTGTACTTTATTCTACTGTCAATATTTTGCCTTTCGGTAGTTTTAGGAACAATGACGTTTCGATTGAATTCTTTCATTTCATGAACTGCGCGAGCCTGCCTTCGGTCAGCGGTGCGCAGGGAAATTTCGCGTTCAACAATCCTGGAATCTCGACGCGATTCAGACACAGTTCGCATTCTGCGCTTATTGTTCCCAGTGCGGAAATCTCTATTTTCAGAGTTTCTTCGATGGCTCTCTCGCACTTCTCGATGTTCTGAGTTACTTTTTTGGCGAATCACGCGGCGTTCATCATTTGTATCGCGGAGTGCTCTGCTTTCATCGCGCAGTTCTTTCTCTGCGCGATTCATAACTGTTCTTTGAGCGATATCGCGCTGCGTATTCTTATTTCCTAAAGTTTCACGTAACTGTTGCCTTCGGCTTCGTATTTCGATCCTATCATCAGCAACACGTTCAGTACGGGAACCATAAAGATTATTCTTTTCGTGTTTGATTTCATAAGCTCGATCACCAATGTTTGTGGATACTCTAATTTCAGTTGTTCTCCTTGTGGAGTGCATCAGCAAGCGTCCATCTCTGTTATTGTCTTCCCGACGTGTTGTTGAGAGGCGAGAACCAATTTCTCTTCGGATGTCTAATCTCTCTCGCACGCGTAATTCAAGATTCCTCCTTTCAGCTTCGTTGATATCATAACGTTTTCGTTCCCTCATTTCTCGGTTCTCTCGGACTTCAAAAGTAAGTCTTCTGTCGTCATTGCTTCCTCTGGAAAGCCTGTCTAGAGATCGAATGTTACGCTGATTTCTTAAAGCAAAGCGATCATCTGAAGTTCTGCGATCTAGAGTTCCATCGCTTTCAATGCGCCGGGTATCCGTAGATCTTGAGCGTCTTAGCTCATCGCGAGTATCGCGCAAATCTCTGCTCCTGCGTACTTCGTCAACATTATCGCGCATAAGTTGGATTCCCCGTGTTAGTCGTAATTCGATTGCGCGACGTTCAAAAGCGCGACGCTCTATGTTTCTATCAAGATTTCGGCCGTAGGATATTATGTTTTCAGCAGACCTTGCATTCCTGATTCTATTATCACGACGACTTTCTCGTTGCTCTAGTTTTTCATCAATATTCCGTGCTCGTACTACTCGGTTTTCTTCAGACCTTGTATTCCTGATTCCATTATCACGACGACTTTCTCGTTGCTCTAGTTTTTCATCAATATTCCGTGCTCGTACTACTCGGTTTTCTTCAGACCTTGTATTCCTGAAGCTAATATCACGACGACTTTCTCGTTGTTCTAGTTTTTCATCAATATTGCGTGCTCGGATTACTCGGTTTTCTTCAGACCTTGCATTGCTGAAGCTATTATCACGACGACTTTCCCGTTGCTCTCGTTTTTCATCAATATTGCGTACTCGTAATACTAGGTTTTCTTCAGACCTTGTATTCCTGAACCTATTATCACGACGACTTTCCCGTTGCTCTCGTTTTTCATCAATATTGCGTGCTCGGATTACTCGGTTTTCTTCAGACCTTGCAAACCTGAAGCTATTATCACGACGACTTTCCCGTTGCTCTCGTTTTTCATCAATATTGCGTACTCGTAATACTAGGTTTTCTTCAGATCTTGTATTCCTGAACCTACTATCATGACGACCATCTGGTTGTTCCAATTTTTCGTCAATGTTGCGTGCTCGGAACACTCGGTTTTCTTCAGACCTTGCATTCCTGAAGCTAATATCACGACGACTTTCTCGTTGCTCTAGTTTTTCATCAATATTGCGAGCTCGCACTACTCGGTTTTCTTCAGATCTTGTATTCCTAAAGTTATTATCACGACGAATTTGTCTTTGTTCTAGTTTTTCATCAATATTGCGTTCTCGGATCATTCGGTTTTCTTCAGACCTTGTATTCCTGAAGCTACTATCACGACGACTATCTGGTTGCTCTAGTTTTTCAACAATGTTACGTGCTCGTAGTCCTCGGTTTTCTTCAAATCTTACGTTCCTGAAGCTATTATCACGATGAATTTCTCGTCTAGATCCGCCATCAACATTTCGTTCTCTGAACAATCGGCTTTCTTCAAATCTTATATTCCTGAAGCTATTATCACGACGATTTCCCAGTCTCGAGTCTTCATCAACATTGCGTCCACGGAATACTCGGTTTTCTTCAGATCTTATATTCCTGAAGCTTTGTCGACTTTGTCGTTGTTCGTCATCAGTTCTTGTATTCCTGAAATGATCATCGCGACGATTTTCTGCGTTTCTAATTCGATCAGTAGAAGTGCCTGTTGCTCGATAGTCCCTCGCTTGTTGTTGGGGTGCTATTGAACTGCGAACCTCAGACTCTCGCTCTCGGCGAAATTCGGTCCGAGATAAACGAATTCGCAATTCAGGCAATTCTCTTTCTCGGTGGGAATTCCGCAAAGAATCTATTGACGAAGAGCGTGCAGCGAAATTCTCATTTCGCCGATCATCGCGCCGTTCTTCGCGTATTTCACGGGGCTGGACGGTTAGTCGACGGTATTCGGATTTAAAGCGATCTCCATCAAGAGAATACGCTGAATCTCTCGAAAGCCGATGGTCACAGCACTGCTGCCTTCCATCAACGAGATTACGTTCGGTGAAAGACGCAATGGGTTGGAAAACCGCGAAAATCGCAAGTAGTAAACGCCAGTTATACATAGTAACTGTGTGCTGGTAAGGTGAGAAGTTCTTCGTGGTCGATTAAAGAGTTACCTAGAAGCGGACCGTTGGAGGCTGCTTCTGGACTGGCATCTACAACGCTGGTAGCCCCTTTTATACCAAATCCCGGCGTTTCTCATTGAATATCTATTAAGCGCAAGAACGAACCCAATTTTCAATAGCCTCCGCAGATACATTTTCTTACTACGACAAAATATTCTTAATCCTTTTAAAAGTAAAACATCATAATCTATATATATAAAAATGAAACCCGTTTCGCGTTGTCACGGCATCACGTGTGAACGGCTGAACCGATTTCGATAATTCTTTTTTTTAAATGTTTGTGGAAGTCCAAGGATGGTTCTTACGGAAAAAAATATTAAGAAAATCTCTACGCTAAGGCGGTACGAAGTTCGCCGGGTCAGCTAGTTTATTATAAAATAATGATGATGATCCTTGGGGGAGGCCTTTGTCCAGCAGTAGACGTCTTTCGGCTGAAACGAACGAACGAATGATGATGAGCAGCTTATTTGTTTTAAAAGTGATAGGTACACACGCCCACACTGTTTACTATCCATTTCCGTTTTTGCTCTCTCTCTTAATCAAATGGCGATTCTTTGCGATAGAACGAGATGACATGACTTTCAATGGGCAGTTAACACTGTTGGCGATAGTAAGTAATAACTACTTAATTCAAAGGATGCGATTCTACATGACTTATATTTTAGAAGTCGATGCCGCTAGGTGTTGTGTGTGTACTAAACCTACCAATAAGATTACGTCATTATTCTGAAGTTTTTCTGCTACTATGATTTGGGAATTAGGAAACATGGAAAACAATAATTTGAATAATAGCAAAATTAGTAAAATATTAACCTAGCAAGCATTATAACTGTGATGAAAGTTATCATATCTCCTAGTACCTAGATATGCTATTAGGTAGCTATTTTACGTGATGTTAAAAATTTAAGTTTCTCTTCTTCGGGTGTTTTCGTAATAAGGAGGAGGAACAGTATACCTAAATTACCTAATACTACTACTTACACAAAACACCAGTAAAGTATCAAAACGTTATGGTCGCGTATATGCAACATGCTATCAGCTGGTCACAGCTGCGCAAAAAGATTTGTCTCGAACCAGAAAATAATTATCTGATTCAATCCTTTGAGGCGGCAAATGGGAATCCATAAATTGAATACTATGACGTCAATGCGGTACATAATGGCAAATAAAATCTATTTTTAGGATATTCGATGTGTGATAGATAAAGGTTGAAATATTATAAGGACTTAGGTATTTAGTCAAGTTATTATGTCAGGTATAGTGAGGTAGGTAAGTAGGCCTATACCTAGTAGACTATTGTAAGGTAGATGATTATTTTAATCATCAGACCCTGTTTACTATAATACTAACCAAACTCGATAGGGCTTGTGCCGTTTTATTGCGGAGTTCCTACGGCCACCTTCCAGCTCCATGTCATCACAATATTAATTTGTTACGCGATTTATAAGTAGGTAAGCATACAAAATATCAGTGTCAATACTTAACTACCGCCTATGGTGTGACTTGTGAATAATAAAATTGCTTCTTCTAACAGATTTTAGTCGGTTCGATTCTCGGGTGTGGCAAACGAATTTTCTAAAATCTTTGTATGCCGTTTTCTTTCTTTTCAAAATTAAAACGAAAGTTTCTTTTATTTCAAAATTATAAATAACTTGAAAAAATCGAACTGCCTAAGGCGGGAATTGAACCCACCACCTTTCGGAAGAGCAGTCGCCCGACAAGCGAAAGGTTGTGGGTTCAATTCCCGCCTTAGGCAGTTCGATTTTTTCAAGTTATTTATAATTTTCAAATTAGTTTGAAATGCAACACAATTAAATAAAATTTCCTATTTACAGTAGGTATTATGATTATGAGTAGGTCGTACTTTCCCTTCAGTTGACATTACAAAATTCCACACAGTAGAAGGGATGATTTATATTAGACCGGACGATATCCGGGCCGGGCCGAGGCCGAAGCGGAGTCCGTCCGTGCTGCAAGATTAACTACACAGTGTTATGGGACCGTGCAGCAACCGTGGTGTAGACGAGCGTCGTCCGGGGCCGGACGGGACACGGATCATGCACTGTGTAATATAAAAGGTATGTAACGTTTCAAATGCGTGTCCCGTCCGGGCCACGTACACAGGGCGCCCCGCGCACGGCCTGAGCACCGATTACGGTAATTTTTAACGTCAACAATCCAGACACGCTTCTCGATTCTGCGATACGATTGGTCGTTCAACAGCGTACGTCAGCTGTTTTGACCAATCGTATTGCAGAATCAGAAACGCGTCTGGATTGTAGACGTTAAAAGTTACCGTAATCGGGGCTCTGGTCTAATATAAATCATCCCTAAGTCTGACTGCCTGCCTATGTACTACGAGTAGAGATGGGTAGTGGGTAAAAACCCATTTCACCCGATTGGGTTAAAACTGGGTGATTTGGGTAAAAACCCGGTTTTTACCCATTAACACCCATTCTGGTGGGTGAAAACAAAAATAGCGTTTTTTTAAAGTGAGAAGTGGTATTTGTTGCTAAGGGGGCGTTCTAGTGTTACGTAATGCAATCTGGAGGGAGAGGAGGTCTTGAAAAACGTTACAATGCGTTACAGTGGCGGAAGGGCGGTTCGATTTCAAGTTTTTAAGCAGAAGTACTTTGTATAGCCTGACCAGGAACATAAAAACCCTGGCATAGAGGCGCGTCAATTGCATTTGATAGTGCAACACTGAGTACAGTCGTACCTGTGTTAAATTAATAGGCTAACTTTATGTAAGTATCAGGATTCAGGATTACGGGCTAATTTGATATTTTCATGAATTAACGAAAAAATATTATTATAGGTAACCTGGTTTAAATAAATTAAATTAATGAAAACATCAATCGAGATAGTAGGATTTATTTTATTATTCATCAATATCAAATTCAGAACTTGAATATTCAACTGCAATGTCTGCTCATGAACGCTTCAAACTTGGTACTTCTTTCCCAATTCCATAAAATTCAACACTTAGAAAGTGACAAAAAACTTTAAAATAGGTAGTTGAAACAAACCACAGCTAATTTTCATAGTGGACTGTACTATACGATAAACATGTCAGTCAATTTGACACCCTTGTCGGAAAAATTATTCAATGAAAATATTGTCCGAACCCTTAGTATTTCTCTTCGACAAATACTTTAACACATTGTGAACCACTTTTCTTTCACGACTATAAAAAGATTTTAGCAATTTAATTCACAAAATCAATTGCGCACATTTAAAATAAAGTTTGTTTACACTTTGACAGCAATAGACTGACATGCAACCCTCCATGTCCTTGCCATGATCACAAATTATTGTGTTCCTACTAAATTTCTTCTAAATTGGTTCTTTTTTTGCCCCTTTGACTGTTTTTTACGAGATTGTAATAATATATAGAATCCATTATTGGCTGTAAGAACAAAAATACCTGTTTGTATTATAATTATAAAGAGCTGTGGTTTTCTGAATAAAGAAAAATAAAATAAAATAAAAATAAAAAGATTCTTAAAATAACACCATTTTATAAAATAATTGGTCACATCATCATAACGTGATCAATTTTACGATTTGGCCACGAGATAAACGCATATTAGTGTTAAATTTGACTTATTACTTATTAATCATTAAACTTAAATGAGAAAAATTCAATAAAAATAAAGAAAAGATACCAATTGAAATAATTATAAAATTATTTGTTTTCACCCGGTGTAAACACCCACGGGTGGAATGAAACGGGTTTTTATTGGGTTTTTACCCTCATGTGGGTTTTTACCCGGGTGGAAACCCATCTCTAACTACGAGTGTATAATGGCTTGTGTGAGCACGCAGCCGGATGTTACATACGGGTCATACCTACTTATCGGATGATGATGACCCTAATCAAATCTTGCGAGTTTTTAAAAAAGAAACTTGCATATAGGTGTAGTACCTGTGGCACAGGCCCCTGTATAGGGTGTGTGTCCTACGAGTCCTATGTATTACTTTTTCTCTATGGTGTGTGTAATAAACCTACATATTTAAAATTATTTATCCATTTCTTTTTTTTGTCTTGTGTGGTTTTGTTTTGGTCAAGCCTCTTGCGTTTAAAAATGAATAAATGTTGTCTGATGTGCGAAAGCACAAGCTGAAACACTTGTACATTCTTAAGGCCTTGTCCGGGAGGCGAATTCGCCGCGAATGTCTTCGCGCGTATGTGTGACGCGATTTCAACTTGCGCGTGTCTTGTGGACGCATGTATTGGATGCTAGTATCTCGCCAACGCGCGTAGGATTCGCGGCAAATTCGCCCACCTGGACAATGCCTTATGAACTACGGGAACCAGATAAATAAAATGACAATTTGGGCAACCAGAGGTTTATTTTTTAAAATTCACTTATTCTAGTTGTATCCATACGATTGGATAACTGCTGTGAAGGGCGCTACAGCCTTTGTAACTTTCTCGCCAGCATCCTTCGTGATTTTCTGTAAGAGATAAAGACAGAGTATTAGCCATCATGTGACAACTAATAATTTTAGGAAGGATGGTTCTGTTACTTCAGTAATGTTGTTTTTTCATAAACATCAAATAATGTAGGTAAGTGAAAATAATCATCATGTAAATATTTATTGGGAAAGAAGGATTCTTTGCAGTACCCTGCTTATTTAAAATTCAAACCTGTATAGAAACAGAAACAATATAAACACGAGTAAGAAACTTGCATACTGTTGTTGGGATAGTTAATAGATGATTTACCTTGAGTTTCCTCTCGTATGCCACCCGTTTGACAGCCTTGATCTTTCTCTTGTCCTCGAGCTTGCGGACGACGTCGCGGTACTTCCAGCCGACTTCGTGGGACAGGCGGCCGACGTGACAGTACTGTGAATAACATCAGTATTATAATATGCAAGATACAAGTTCGGTACAGTATGTCTGCCTGATGGTTTCTCAGATTATAATGATCGCAACATAATGCATTCAGTCGCAAATTACCCAAAGTGAAACATCATTGTAGCTAATTAAAAAGCAGATTA